ATGCAATTCCATAGAACATACAGCAGAAGCGTCTGTGTTTTTAACAAGCTATAGCTACCTTAACACCTGGAAATGGTGGGGTCTGCAGTCCCTCTGCAAAATTGGTGCTCTAAGCAAAATTATATTACATGGCCATAAGAGCAAATTTGGCAAAAAACTGAAAAAAATGCAATGCTGAGGTCAATGACTTCTCAGGGTCACCAGAGGTCAGATGCAAATTGCCTCCACATCTGAAATAAAACCTTGGAGTATGTAGATTATATACTGAGACTTTCATGCTTTGGTCATAAAATGCACAGTTGTTTTGTCCATCTTCCTCACTAATTTGGTTCATTATTTATTTAAAGAAACTGATGCGCTAACTTTTAAAGAAAAACAACTTGAATGTGTGGTTCTAACAGTTAATTTCACTTGTTCAGATCATTTTGAAAATCATTGTGAGAGATGTTTCTTTGACTGACAGGTGTTTCAGCCAATCAGCTGCCTCTTAATGTTTTTTTCATGTGAATCTGGGGCCAGGTGGCACTGCAACAATAGAAACACTATACACATTGCAAGAGTGGGATCAACGAGGACTTATGGGGCCCCAGCACATCTGTTGCTGTCCTTTTTGCCCTGCTAATGCTTCGCAGGCTGCACTAACTGACATAGATGGAGGTGACTAGTGAATTCAAAACTCAAAAGCTTTCAAAATGAATGTCCCCTCAGAAATATATGGCTGATGTGACACATTCTGTATCCAGAATCCAGTGGACAGCAACAGGTAACAGCTGGACTAATACCTAACACTTGTTAACCTGCATGAACTTGAAATAACATTTTGTGTCGGACTTGTAAAGTTTGCACCACAGTCGCTGCTAAGGTTAAACTTCACACCTGAGCTCCAGTTACATAAGGTTACATAATAATTACATAAGGTTATCGAATGGTGGAACCCAGTTGGCCCCTCAGCTTGTTAATTTTATCCCTGTAAAAAACACAATGCATTCTTCTGTCCACCCACTGATTTATGATTGACAGCTCCTGCAGTCTAAGAGCTGTGTGCATCCTGAAGTCCAGCTCAGGACGCTGACTTTGCATAGTGTCAGTAAAGTGTAAATGCAGGCCCTCACCATTTCTCTTCCATATTTACAGTAACAACTTACTGTATTATATATACAATAATCTTATGTAATTATTATGTATTTATTGGTGAATTTGTTTTGTTACACCATTAAAACAGAAATGTAACTCTTACAAAAGAAGGAAAGCACCGCATCAGCAAAAAAAAAAAAAAAATCCAAAGTGCGTTTATAATAGACATTAGATTTTAAAGAATGGAATGCTGACAGACCTGTCAGCATTTATTTGACATCCTGTTTTATTAACCTTGGATGAATTATTGTGATGTGTAAAGAAAAGTACTCCAGACGTCCCTCTCCTCAGCAACCTTTTCCAGCTCTTCTTGGAGGAACCCCGAGATGTTCCCAGGCCAGATGAGTTATACAATCTCTCCAGTGTGTTCTCGGTCTAACCCAGGGCCTCCAGTTGGACGTGCCTGAAAGAGATCCAATCGAAGGTACCCAGGTAGAATCCTAACCAGATGCCCAAACCACCTCAACTGGCTGCTTTCAAGAGCAGTGGCTTTACTTCTTACTCTATTTCTAAGGCTGAGCTCAGACAGTCTTTATGCTAAACTAGACAAATCGCACACTGACTCAAACTTTGTGCTTAACACACAGACATGAGAGTGATATTCACTCTCAGAAAGAAAGCAGAAGCTAGTCAGGGGACCTTGAGTAAATAAAGAACAAGGTCAAGATTAACTATGAAGCTTTTACACTGTTTTGGAAAAAAAGTTATTTTAGACTTGACTCCTTTTTTTTCTATGACTGGACAAACACCATCATGCACCTGACTAAGAATGTTTGATGAAGTTTGTGAGAGTGTCTGCTGATGACCAGATTCAAGGTCACTGAGGGTGGAGGTTATTTTACACAAGCTCAATGAAGGAATGTTTACTATCTACAATAAAAGAAATACAAGCTGGTTGTGATGTGCAGCTTTGCACAGGTGCTGCACAGAGAGAGGCAGCTGATCCTTCCCATCAACGTTACTTTGGTCATCTTTATTGATCTTAATAATAATGTAGTTTTTACAACACTTATCAAAATCAGATGCTTTACAAAGGGCAGACATAATGCAACCAAATAATTCAACTGAAAAAAAAATCTAATAGGAATAATATGGGATAAAATAAATTACCAAGCAACAGAAGCATCACAATTTTATATTTTTACTGGTTGTTTATACAGGAACAGACATCATGATTGGTTTGGAAGTTCCCACAGAAAAATAAGGAAACAAACAGTATATCAGTAACTGATTCTGGAGTGACCTTATATCAAGTCCCAATTATATATATATAAAAAGAATAGGCATACAGCAACATGTTTTAGTTTACATATTGATAGATAGATAGATAGATAGATAGATAGATAGATAGATAGATAGATAGATAGATAGATAGATGTGTGTGACCTGAATCTTCTCTGTGTTGCTTCCCTTTAATGACATATTTCTCTCTCTGTTTTGTCCATTCCTGTCTTTCAATGACAGACAGGATGTGCTTGTGCTCTACACCTGTGCAAAAGGAAAGTAATGTCCCTACAATTGACCTGGGCTTGAATAGTGTGAACTTGAACTTGAAAATATCGGCAGCCATATTGGTTGCAGCCACAACCTACTGTGTCTTGTTCTGTTTTTTTCACCCCAAAAAGCCCTGTTCCTTCTTTGAACCAGCCCAGCAGCTTTGGGGATGAATCAGCCTGTTAACTCATCACTAAGACAAACATGAGGACTGTTTATACAGAGCACTGTAGAAATATGTGAAACCACTGAGGATGTTTGCATGTCACAGATGCAGAAACAGAGCAGGGAACACTGACAGACTGAGAGAAAGAGAGAGTTGGCTGCAGGGGGGCTGTGTGTTATGTAACAGCATGTTAGCCCCGCCTTCTCCCACCGGCCAATCTAATCCCTTCCTCACTCTCCTCACTCCTCACATGCTATGACCTCTCTAGCCCTCAAACACACACACACACACACACATTGGCCCTCAAAGCAGCTGAGTGGGTGCCTTTAAGGGAACAGCATCCTCTCATCCCATTGGATGAAGAGAGAGGCATGACTGCAGCATCCTATTGGGTACCAGTCTGTATCACCACTGCCATCATCATCATCATCATCGTCATGTGTGACATGTGTGCAGCATCAGTAGGGCGGGGATGCAGGGAACAACATGTTCATATGTATGGCCCACCATCATTTCTATAGTTGCAGCATAATGAGTTCAGTGCAAAAACTGAACAAATTTCTGAAAATTAAACATGTTAATATTTTGTTCTACAACACATAAAATCAAAGGACGTCTTGTCTCCTGCTTAGGATCATTTGTGAATAAATAAAGGTGAAATTCTTTAACCTTAGTGAAGTGTGAAGCAGGGAGGGAGGAAGGAAGAGGAGAAGTGGCTCTGCAGGGTCAAATATTGTGTCTCTGTTCACAGACTTCCTCATTTTCTCTGTGACGCAGTGACTGTTGGACCCATAAAACACTGGGGACGAACCTTGTCTGATCACTAAACAACGAAGCACAGTGGTGACTGAACCTGCTTCATTATGATAGAGCAAAGTAAACATCCTAGAAACCTTCGCAGGAAGAGATGACGCTGAGGAGGAGGACATTGTTTACATGTATGGTCACGGTCCACTGCAGTAAAGAATAGTATGAGACTTTCCTCTGTACTGAATGAACAATGAGCATTCACAGTGAACTCGTGCACAAGGAGCTCACATGCATCTTGTGTCATTCTTCTTGGGCTTTTATCCCACTGACCTAGCTGATATCATCCTGCAGAGGGTGAAAAGTATCAGAGGTGGTAAATTAACCCTGACCCATTCCCATAATATAATGTAGGTCAAAGCTAAACCACGTGTTTCTGCAGACTGGACAAAGTGCACGACTCGGTTGAGATAAATATTTTATCCACTACAATAACACTCTCCTTGAAGCATAATTAATGTTTAATTTACAGGTGAAAGTCCATCTGTGTCCGGGTCCACCCAGATAAGGTGTAAACTGACTTGTGGAGTTTACAATGAAGGAAACTGCCTCTGTGACTATCTGGTTAAAATTCTACGGAGATGTTAGAGATGGAACTGGGTCTCATGATCAAGATTTAGTGTCTGGATCAGTGGTAGAAGATGTATTCAACTCCTTTACATGATCCTTTACAACTATATGAGAATATGACAGTGATAATGCATATAATATATTATTATATATAACATATCTATTATAATATATACAATACACACACACACACATTTATATATTTTATATATATACAATAAAAAGTAAAAGGAAATGATTTCATCTGAAATGTACTGGGTACTGCAGCAAGAAAAGTACAAGTTCCTTAAAACTGTAGCTAAGCACAGTACCTCAGTAAATATAGTTAGTTCCATTTATCTCCTGCTGGTCACCTTCAGTGTCAGAGAAAAATGCACGGAGAACCTTACAGGAACGTTATGTGGCTTAATAGGAGGCATGTGGGTCAGATCTGAAGTTCCCAGCAGAGGTTACATACTGTGGAGCACTTGTAATTACACTTTGGCATCCACACATGATGCTTATAGTCTGATGTGCACTTTCCTGCATATATATACTGCTGTATGATGCGTTCAAATTCTATTCAAAGAGGGACTATGTCAATAATAATATCATCACTTGTTGGTTCAGTCTACATGCTACTGCTTGACTGAGAGTCCACACTCTCCTCAGAAATGTCTTTATAAATATAGAGAGGGGAAAACAAATTCAGCCAACCGTCATATTTCCAGTCTTCCATGGCTCACAGGCGGGAACATAAATACCACGCAGGCAGCTCGGCACCCTGCTCTGCACCCCTCCTTACACGTGAACCAGGCTGGTCACGGTGGAAATCCATTCACCTCCTCCTCCTCCTCCTCCTCTCCTCCTCCTCCTGCGCCTCCTCCTCCTCCTCACAGTAGCACGCTCCGCTCCACACTAGAGCCCTCTGTCTATCTCCCTGTCAGCAACCAGACCAGATAACGAGTATCAGCCGTTAGGAACATCTGTAAAAATGTGAGTATTTGCCTGTTTTCTGGTTGTTTTTCTTCAGGGTGGGGGGTCGGACATGGTGCGTGCCCAGCGCCTCAGCAGCAATGGATGCTCAGTTCAACCACCCGCTGAAGGAATCCATTGTTAATGAGATGCGAAGTTTAACTGAAAAATAATTCAACCGCTTGACACAACGTGGCGGGTTGTATGAATGTTTTCGTCAGTTTAGACAGAAAGAGCTAGAAAGAAAAGCTATCTGGCAATATTATGATTTTTTTGTAAATTGTATTTATTACGCGTGAAATTTGTATTATTTCAGCCTGTTACAGTTAGTAACAGTCAGTAACAGGCTAACTGTACAACAGTGCAAAGTGCAGCTGCTGTAGCTCATTAAACTAGGTCTATTGTTTTACAGTTGAACTCGACGTCTTTGTATTAACGGCCACATTTTAGTGTGGAGCACTTGACATTGAGGATGGACCGTGTGTTTGTAGCCATGTTGTGTAATTGAACACAGACAGGAAACAATGAACTCGCAGTGAACTTGAACTTCTTCCCCTGTAGGAGCTCTTTTCTCACGCGGTAATTAAGATGTGTTCACAATAATTTCAACATTTCCTGTCGGTTTACGTTGAGTTCAGTTCACTCTTCTCACTGTGTCTCAGCATCATCAAAATGAAGGGCGACTGCAGGGCTCAGGCCCACGCTGTTACATAACCTCAGCTCCACTAAAACCATAGAACATGACAAGAGCCTCACCATATCAGCTTACTACAATAATTCAGTCAGTAACAGACGAACAGGAACTTAGTCCTGTCTTCAGTAAGGCTGTAACAGTAACTGATTCTATGAGGCTAAAATGGGGCATTGTGCTATTCAGCAGCTCTATCTTTTCCCTGAACAAGTGCCAGTTAGCTGTAGCCCATATAGAGCCATGAGGTGTGTCTCCTCATGGACAAACCACCTCCCCTCCACCGCCTGTTTCTAGTGTCTATTTGACCTTGTTATGAGCTGATATCTTAACTTGTTGGCAGCCAGTCCCCACAGGCTAAATACGACAGGACAACATGAGCTTACAGGGCTTTTGTTCTTTATGAATGCTGATAGTGAAGGTCAGTGGTACCCCAAACTGAGAACTGTGTCCTAATCAAGTGGTTTAATCAATTCATTTTATTTCTCACAATAGGCATATATATATATATATATCCCTCTATCTAAGGCTGTTGTTTTTGTAAATGATTTATTATATCCAACAATTTTTATGATTTTCCTCTCAGCACAGTTTTATGACATTGTGTTGGGTTAGCTCTGGTTTCAGTGTGACGCTGTCTATTTTTTGTGAACAGCACCTCCTTTTGTTGTTTTTAATCAGACCTTGATATGAAAGGAAATCTGATGCTTGTGTTTGACTCATGCAGATTGTGCTGTCAACTCAGTTCAGATATTTTTGTGTTTTTCCTGAAATCATTTTTAGTCTCTGGACCTAAATGTCTGCCTTGCTGTTGATATTGAAACCAGTTGACAGAAAACCACAAGAGCCGTGCTCTTTATGAGGAAGTGTAACACTGAAGTGAACTTGTGATACTTTGATGAAGCTGGAAATCTTTGTGTGTAGAAAAACATAGACATTATTGTTAAGTAAGAACACATTGGCAAAATGTAGCTGTATGATATTGATCATACATTGAGTAGTGAATTTATTGATATCTTGTCACCCAAACCTAATTTATTGATGTTGAGTGTCATCCATTGTGGCCTGAAACTGCTATTTTGTTGTGCTATTTTCTTTCTGCTAAATGTTGTTGTTTATCAGCTGTTTGAAACCAGCTCATTAACATCATAAGTTCCTCTGAAAAAACTACTAATATTTGCATCCATTTCAGTTATTTTTGTGTTATTTTGCTGTTTAAGAAAATTAAGTAGCAGGGCAGGGCTGTGACTCTACGGACAAGTGACGCCAGACAATAAAAATTCTAGTTTGTTTGTATCGATTGAAGCATATCATTTGATCTTGGCTTATATAGGAAGTTATTGGTTTCATTATTAAGCATTAATCATTTTGATTTCAAACTGATGTTTTTCAAAGTGTCATGTCGTTCCTCTTGGTCCACTCTTGGTGGGGGTCACATGTTCTGCTGCGGCATATCTCAGTTCTGTTCTTGTGCCCTTATTACAGTTATTCCTACATCCAGTTGTTAAACAACAATTAGTTAATAGTGATCCCTTATCCCAGCCAAGGACATGAGAAACCTGATGTCATGTTTGATGGCCAGCTCTCCTTCTCTGACCATGATCATCTGTCTCCTGATCTCTTCGCTTTATACAACATCGGAAAATCAGGTCTTAACTGACTCAGTACTCCACCAAGCTCTTGGTCCAGACCATGGTTATCTCTCACTTGGACTATAGCAGTGCTCTTCTGTTGGACCTTCCTTTGTGCACAGTGAAACCCTTACAGATGGCCCAGAATGCAGCAGCCCGTCTGGTCTTTGATCACGTCACTCTGCTGCTCATCGACCTCCACTGTCTACCCATGACCACCTTAATCAGATTCAGTCACTAATGCTGCCTTCAGAGTGACTTCTGGGTCTGCTCTATCTACTTGAACTCAATCATACAGCCTTATGCAATCTAACAGACGGTCACGTGTAACACCCACTTTAACATCTCTTCACTGGTTTTCTGTTAATTTAGAATTTTAGAATCCATTTTGAAATTTTATTGATCACTTTTAGAGCTCTGCATGACCCCAGAATACATCGCAGATCTCCTTCAACCCCACACCACAAGCCGAGCTCTTAGGTTTTCCACCCTGGGTCCTCTAAGCGTACCACAAACACACTTTAAGATCCGGGGTGATGGCGCCTTCCAGTCAACAGTTCAGGAGCTCTCTCTGACTAAATCTGAGAGCCTTGAACTCTGTGGACTCTTTTAAAAAGCAACTGAAAACTCTCTGTTCAGACAGGCTTTTAGGTAGCATGTGTTATTTCATACTTTTAACCAGTGTCCTGTTTCTTTTTTTCCTCTCGTATATTTCATCTGGTGTTTTTACTTTTGCTTTTATTTGATGATTTGGTTTTAATATTTTCATTTGATTTTATTCAGTTCGGTTATCAAGCACTTTGTGATTAGTCTCTGGGAAAGGGGCCATACAGATAAACTTTGCTTGCTTGCTTACGCTTCTTCTCAGCCACTCTGTTCCTCCGAGGAATGTGGTTTGTCATCACCATCCTGTATACAAGACAGTCTCAGTCCAGACTGTTCTGGTCTGTGGTTCCCTGATGGTGGAACAAGCAACTGAACACTCAGAGCAGGAGCCTCATCTCTTCAGAGAGCACCTCCTCTACTTAACACCCTAACATGTCTATCTAGCTCTTAGTATGAACCTTTGGTACACTTCCTTATACAATCTCCTTCACTTATTAAATAGATGTAGTACTTAGAACTTACACCAAGGTCTCCTACTGCACTGAAGCTTTAGTGTTGAACCTCACTTGTCTAACGGATGAACAAATGTAAATGTCCTTCACTTTTCAATCTCTTTTTCCTGATGGCTTTGTGCCTTTGGGGCAACTTAAGAAAATATGCCTGTAAGTCAGACATCTTCATGTAACACAGTCTTTATCATTTTTCCAGCACTTCACAGTTCAGCTCGACGTCAGCCTCAAAAACCAAATTTTCCTTCTGTGATGATTGATATTGCACCATGTGACCAGAGCTGCTAAAATCCTCACATTGACACAAGGACCTGAAATCAGGGGCGGCAAAACAGGACCCAATGAGACTGAACAGAACTTGGACCTGGTCTGACTCAGAACTAAACACCCCAAACTGAAATACTTAAGACAAAAGCAGGATGTTTTGTAATACAACACATACAGTGATTTTTTGTGCATCTGTGTGCAGATGCTGTATTAGTGATATCAATATAATTTTTCAGTTCCCACTTACTGCTAGTAGTTTTATTAAGCCTCATGCAACATCAGGCATATATGAAGAACTCCACATTCTTGTGATAAGTGTGAGACTGTGAACCAACCATCCTATTTCAGAGCATCAGCGATGATAAGTCAGTTTTACACATTCACCACTCAAGCTGCTGTAGAGATGGGTATGACAATGGACATGATAACAAAAAACATCATGTATGTACAGATTAGCATGATGCTCAAACTACTTTGTGTTCATGCTGGAGCAGTGATAATGCTGTTACTGAAAGTGAGGAAAATGATGACACTAACGCGCCTGATAAAACCTCAGTATTTAAACTGGACACTGGTGTCAGTCAGTCAGTCGTTGATTTCTCGGTTTGGTTCCTGCACTTGGCCTCTGTCACCATGTCTTTCTTTTTGATGCCCATCCGTGCCTCCTCCTGTAAGTGTTGTAACCATGGTTGTGTTGTTGGTTGTTGGTTGCAGACTGTCATTTTGCTATTATTTACTCTTGGACCGAGGACTATGTGTGTTACAGTATGTAGAATATATGCTTTATTTGGAAAAACCACCTCTGGTCCTCATTGTTGAAACAAATAATCAGTAAGTCGATTGAAAGGAAGTGAATACCTGATAGTTCTGATAATCAGTTAATGCTTCATTTTAAACCAAATACAGTAGATGAATTGATATTGAAAATAATTGTTGCAGCTCCTGCTCATTATTTTTGTGTTTGTGGATATTTGTACACAGTCAACCATTTGTCAGAGATTGTGAAATTGATTCATCAATTACTCGAGTAGTTGTAAATAATCTTAATTCACATTCTGATTATTATTATTATTATTAATAATAATAATAATAATAATAATTATATTAATCAATCACATATTTTCTTCCTTCATCTTCTTCATTGTGAAGATTTGTGTCTTTTCTATGGTTTATATCAGTAAACTTGTTTGGGTTTTGTAACTGTATAACTGTAACTCAAAACGATATATTTGAAGACAGCACCCTCAGGTCTGAGAACTTATGGCAGACATTTTTTTATTTTAAGCCATTTTATGGATGATTTTATAACCATGAATCGATTAATTGAAAAATTGGTCCACAGATGATGGCAGTAATAATTAGTTGAAGGCCTACTCTTCATTCACATGTTTTATACTTGTGTTAATGTTTGTGGAAATATGTACAGTATGTAGTCAACTATTTTAAAATTAATCCACTGTTCACCCTTCATAGGGACAGTGTTGCTACACTACTGTTTTACAGTCTACATGCTGTTTGTGGTGTGAAGAACAAGTCTCAGAGGCCGCATCTGACAGTAAATGACTAGTTTAGACAGATGTTTCATTCCTGTGCCGTTGGACCTGCTCACCAGGACATGTCCTCTCTGTGTCTCCCTGCAGCCGTCATCATGTCCTCAGTTCTGCAGAAGTTGATCAGCCCTCTGGCCAGCGGCCCCGCCGAGCCTCCCAGGAACAAAGTGACGGTGGTCGGGGTGGGCCAGGTGGGCATGGCCTGCGCCGTCAGCATCCTGCTGCGGGTAAGAAACAGATCAGCATGAGTTTTATTACATGAGAATAATTAGAAAAATGGAGACCCATACAAAAATCTGATACATGGTCATATGCATCAATTAAGTTTATATAATATGCATGTCAATATAGAGTACTCTCACTAATATCCAATATCCAGAAGACACATGTATGACCAAATAGTTCAAAGTGTAGCATCATTTTCATGTATGTTCACTATATCCTTACAGATGTATAAATATATTTCTATTTCGTAAAATCTGATTCATAATAGGAGTTGTCAGTTTAGCACTCACACTGGGATCATGTCTGTTATTGCTGTTCGTTCTGTGCGTGTTGTGCTAATTTTATTATTGTATATTTATTGTTTGTGTGTCACATTGGTGTGCTTTAACCAGCCTGTGCAGGCAAAGGCAAATTTACACATTTATTATTATTATTATTATCACAGGGTTGACACATACAGACAGACAACCACTGACACTCACATTCACACCTTCAGACTATTAAGAATCACCAATTAAGAATCAATTAAGAATCACCAGTCAACTTAACCTGCATATATGTATACAGTATGTATTTATGTGTGTGTGTGTGTGTGTGTGTGTGTGTGTGTGTGTGTGTGTGTGTGTGTGTGTGTATAATCAATAAATAAATCATCCTCTTGCACTCACTGTCTTCCTCCTCCTCTGGTCAGGACCTGTGTGATGAGCTGGCTCTTGTGGATGTGATGGAGGATCGTCTGAAAGGAGAGATGATGGACCTGCAGCACGGCAGCCTCTTTCTCAAGACCTCCAAGATAGTGGCTGACAAAGGTCAGGAAATTCTGACTTCTCTAAATATCACTCATCAGATCTGAACTGTCTTGATTCAGTCTCACAGCTGAGCTGAGTTCACCTGTCTGTATCCACAGCTGTAAGAGATCTCCAGTGTGAAATCAGCTGATAACAGCAGGAACATTGATTGTGGAGTTATTAAACAGTGTCTGTCAGTGTGAGAGCAGTGAGTACTTCTGTTATCTGAGGCCATGAGTGATTACAGTTTTATTTCAAATGGCCCCAGTGGGAGTGTAACCTCCAACCTCAGAAGAGTGAATGCTAGCTTCACTCACTAACTGCCTGAGGCTAGTGTGCATCAAAGTGAGCTACTCAGTTATGTAATTTATTCTTATATACATACCGTACATTAAAGAGCAATGATAATAAAGTATATAAATCTTCCCTGTCTCCGTCTCCTTCAGACTACGCAGTGACAGCCAACTCCCGCCTGGTCGTCGTGACAGCCGGTGTTCGTCAGCAGGAGGGTGAGAGCCGCCTCAACCTGGTGCAGAGGAACGTCAACGTCTTCAAGTCCATAATCCCCCAGATCATCAAGCACAGCCCCAACTGCACACTCATCGTGGTCTCCAACCCTGGTGAATACACTAATACACACATGATCATCTCTCGGTGTGTTTGCTTGTGTGTGTTTGCGTATACTACTTATCAACAACACACCCTCCACAGTTGATGTGCTGACCTATGTCACCTGGAAGCTGAGCGGTCTGCCCAAGCACCGTGTCATTGGCAGCGGCACCAACTTAGACTCAGCCCGCTTCCGTTACCTGATGGCTGAGCGCCTCGGCATCCACGCTACCTCCTTCAACGGCTGGGTGCTGGGCGAGCACGGAGACACCAGCGGTGGGTACACACAGAGAAAACACTTAACAGACAAAGGAACATTTGTCAGATATCATGGGTACTTTTTTCCTGTTGAAGCTGCGCTCAGAAAGTGAGTGGAATTTGACATGAAAATCAAACATATTCAACACATTCTTTTAGTTTTTTTCCCCTAAATTTGTTTATTGGCTTGGTACCACGTTACAATCAGTCTACCCTTATAAAGGGTTTATAAGTTTATAAGTTTTTATTAATCAGCTTGTTAACACTAATCATTTATAAGCTGTTATAACACATTAGACAAAAAGGGCAACAGTGACCTGTTGCTTGCCAAATAGTGAGCCCACATGTGTCTGTACTGTTCAGCCTCATATCTCATTAGTTACTGAGCTTTCTTTGTTTTCTCCATCATCAGCGTTTGTACCTGCTGCTTCATCACATGTTTGTTCAGTTACTATCAATAAACCACCGTCAGCATCTTAATGCTCAGAAAGTTTCATCTGGCAGATCAAATTCTGGCTGATCACATGATCATATCACATGACTAGATTCATCCTCTGAGGCCTTGGCAGTGTTGTTGACCTTGACATGCTCTCAGCAGCCGCAAAAGTGATCTTATTGTAAAGGGTAAAACACATAATCATTTATTAATGAGTTTCTATAAGGCTCCTTTTACCAGTTATAAATGGTAGTGACTCATTAGTAAGATTAATGAGTAGTAAGCATTAATTAATTAATGTATGAAAACTGTGTTAAAACTCATTTATAATTGTTTATTTATGATTTAAAAAGTGTTAACAACTGAATCAGTAACCTAATTGTAATCTTGTAAAGCATTACAAGTTGCATTGTGGCAAATAAAACATCAAAAGTACAAAGTGCACAGTGTAAATACAAGAACAATGTTATACAAAAAGATCTAACTAAAATGAAAAGAAAACAAAAGAAAACATAACACACAAACCAAACAATCATTATATTTAAATACAAAATTAACAAGATAGAAGGAAAAACGAACACCCCAAACCCATTAATGTTCAACTGAGCTTTTATATTATATACACTTATGTGTGAATAACATCAAGATCAAACAGGTTGTGGAGGGGGACACATAGCACAATTTTAACTGTGTGTGTGTGTGTGTGTGTGTGTGTGTGTGTGTGTGTGTGTGTGGGTGTGTGTGTGTGTGTGTGTGTGTGTGTGTGTGTGTGTGTGTGTGTGTGTGTTTTTTCTCCAGTGCCTGTGTGGAGCGGTGCAAATGTGGCTGGAGTCAACCTGCAGAAGCTGAACCCTGAGATTGGCACTGATGCTGATAAAGAACAGTGGAAGGCCACACACAAGGCTGTTGTGGACAGGTAGGCTGTGTGAAAGTGACTGTGTGAGAGGGAGAAGTAGACCAGATAACAAAACAGTTTGGATCGAGCTTTATAAATGTTAAATGTCTACATGACACAGCAGAAGCCTTTATGCTCACAGCCTTCCGGCTTCCTAAACACCCAGAGCCTCTGAGGCAGGATCTAGTCCAGGTGACTGAGCCTCAGTGACCCCATGACAGGAAATGATTCAGCCTGTCAGTCCACACTTCAGTTATTCCCGGCTACACAATCATCCGTCTCAGGTGATCTGATCACCAGTGGTCAGCTCTAAGTTCAGGTGTGAACACACCGGAGACACATTGTGGACACACTTGAAATCCAATGACTCAGACCACATTCAGAGGTTGTATGGGCCACATGTGGCACTCATACTCACTCACACACACACACAAACACATCGACAACAAACCTGTCTGTCTGATTGGCTAAAAACAACAACACATACTTGTTTATTTACATATAAAGCAGGACGTGTGGTCCGATCACAAGACACATTTTAAATCCAGGGGTGAACTGACGCACTTATAGCTGAGCGCTGCTGATCAGATCACTGAAGATGATGTTAACGCAGGTCTGAACAGGACCTCAGTTATTGATATCTATCTTTCTATGTATTCTAATCAAATCTCTGACTGTACAGTAGGTCATCATTGGCTGGCCATCATCTGTTAAATAATCTACTGTACAAGAGTTCATGTAGCTGTCTAAAGCTTGGCATTAGCACTTCAGGCCTGTGCTGTTCTGGTGCTTCAGTTAATGTAACACTTGGTTTAGAACTAATATTGTCTGTAACACTGTATTGCATCATGCACACAGTATGTCTGTTGTGCATGTGCACACAAATCAGGTCCAATAAAAGCATTTTCAATAAAACCTGCAGGTCTTATAATGATTTGTTAGAGTCCTCCAGGCTTATTTTAGACTTACAGGTGTAAATTAAATCTTGGCCTGCTGATCTAAATATCTTTTTGATACCCTGCATTGGAAGGGGGGGGGGGCAAGGGGGCAAGCAAGTTAGCCAGTACATAGCAGGTCAACAGTGTCAAAATATTATGTTAACACACTATGTTGTGTCTCAGCGCCTACGAGGTGATCAAGCTGAAGGGATACACCAACTGGGCCATTGGCCTGAGTGTGGCTGACCTGACTGAGAGCATCATCAAGAACATGAGCAGAGTACATCCTGTCTCCACCATGGTCAAGGTCAGACACACACACACACACGCTTGCACGCACACACACACACACACACACACACACACACACACACACACACACACACACACACACGGTTAGTAATGCCTTATTTTTCTTATCATTTCAGCTTTAGTGTTTATTCCCAAAAGAATTTGCAGCTTATAAACAATGAATATGGAGTCATCTGGGCCCTGGGGCAGAGGCTCACTCTGCCTGGCTGCTAGTCTAACCTTGCACACAGCCCACAGCCTAAATAAAGTAGCTGTTGCTTATGGAAGCCATGGTTGTGTGATTATTTTTGGACTTGTGATCACATGACCTTAATCCATTCTCCTCTGCCATAACCGCTCTTTGTTTTCTCTGACACTGAGAATGAAGGTCCTAAACACATGTACAGAACAAGTACTTGCTGAGAAAGTCTTATTTGTCTATGAACTAAATCTAAAAGTAATTTGAAAGATGCTAAAATCACATGAGTATTTGACAAATAGGGGCTTTATGTCAGTTTTTATTATTGTTGTATTTATCTTTGTATTACAGGATTTAAAAACACTTACATCAGATAAATCAGATTTATTCATTTATCAAAAATGATCAGGAATAAAGATCATTGTTGTCTTACATAGTTGCCTCCATTACTCCACTACCATTTGTTTTAAATAGCAGTCCTATGGCTCGTATGTTAAAGCAGGGTGCTTGTCCCTGTGTACTACACCTGTTTTTCTAAAGGAATAATTCAACATTATGGGAAATATCTCTGAATGTGGTTAGTCTAGTTTAGCATGAAGACTGGAAGTAGGGGGAAACTGCTGGCTTGGCTCTGCCAGCACTTCTAAAGCTTATGAGTTAACTTGTTGTATTAGGGCTGGGCCACATGACTTCAACTCAATATCGATTGCGATTAATGAAAGATTACTTTGGTTCTTATCAGTGTGGCTGCGTTGTGTAATCTAGAGATACAGTGGGTGTCGTACGTCATAAATCTGACACCCTCCCCTTTCGTTTCAGTGTCTAGGCTGAATCTGAATATGATACAGACACAGATGAAAAAAATATAAATATTTATTTTAACCATTTTAGCAGGTTCATGTGGCGACAGGGGCCACATGTTCTTTATGGTCATAGAAGAAACCCAATGTAGGCTAAAATTATATTATGTCAATAACAGGTGAAGGGCAGTAGTTTACTCTGTGTGTGTAAATAAGGTAAATAAGGTTAAGCTGGATTCCTTCAGTGTCAGTGGTTCACGAAATCAAACAGAACGTTAAAAACACTGAATAAAGTAGTCTCACTTTAAAAATCAGAGATTCACCGACACTCTTCAGGGACACAGGACAGGACGTCTCCAGCAGCTGGGAGCTGAGCTGTCTAACATTTCCTCAGCTTGTTTCTCTGATAACTTCAGATCCAGACGTCCGACGACTAAAATCCTTCATCTGGTTCAAATATAGAGCTGAAAACCACCAAGGTGTTAAAAGTGTATGTGGCTTAAAACTAGATAAATGTCAATGTTGAGTTTCTGTCAGACAAACACACTGACACATGATCACAGAGGATGTGATGTCACTGACAGGCGACCAATGAAACGTTACCATGATTAAAATCACAGATTTCTGTGGTTTGAGAATTGATGGAAACATTTGGGATAATGTAAGAACACAATTCAACAACATATAGAACATAAGTCTAGTTGTTTTTAGACATTTTGATGAGGAAAAGTTACAGATTATAACTTTAATAAGGTTTCTAATGGAAGTAAATCCAACATTCAGGTATTCATGGCCACATCCAAGGTAAACTGTGTGTAGAGAGATGAACTGAATTAACCGACAGGAGAAAAGTTGGTGAGGTTCTAAATGTCGGTTTGATACTTCTCGGTTAAGTGCACAGCTCTATTTGTTTTATCTGTCAATTTGACAGTTTGTGGTTTTACATGCTAGAACTAGTTCTTGACAAACAACAGCTGGCTAAAGTGACTGTTTGCAGCTTCCTGAGGTCTTGCCACCACAGTTGAGGTTGCCAGGTTTGGCACTATTGTTCCTGCATAGATACCAAAATAAAACCTGTGCTCACTGATTGTAAATCAGAACCTGCACACACACAGACACAGCACAGGAGTTCTGGCAGATCTGAAACAACTGTTGTTTGTCAAGAAATAGTTCCAGTATGTAACCCCGCCTCCTAAATCCTGATTGTGTCATGTACAACCAAAGAAGCATATTAATTACCAAGCAATTATTTTAGAGATATTTTTAGAGGTGTTGATATCCATCCTCTCAGCTTACTTAATAATAAATATTTCCCTAAACGTAAACACTTTAATCGCTTACATACAGTCTATATTGTGTTAAATTTTGTGTGTTTCTCAGAGCTTCATCCTCACTTAACTGTGTGTGTGTGTGTGTGTGTGTGTGTTTGTTTCCTCAGGACATGTATGGTATCGGTGAGGAGGTCTTCTTGTCTCTGCCCTGCGTGCTGAACAGTAACGGTGTGAGCAGCGTGGTCAACATGACCCTGACAGACGCTGAGGTGGGCCAGCTGAAGAAGAGTGCCGACACACTGTGGGGCATCCAGAAGGACCTGAAGGACATTTGAACACACCTGCACACGTAGTGCACACCATTGATGCAGAGGCCTGAGACATTCACACACTCCTTTTATACTGTCCCTCTCTCTTAGATTGTGTCGCTCACATTTTAAAGGATGATACCAGTGTTTTTCTTGAACGTTGTCGTCAGACCTGACATGGCTATTTCCATATCAGTGCTCAGTCAGTCACCTGACACCTGAAAAATCTAAACACTCGTATGCTCCTTTAAAAAAAGCTAATTTTCCTCCCAAACAGCTCGTAGACTGAAGTTTCTGTGTCCCTGTGTTTGTGTTAGGAGATGTAAACTGACCTCTGTCATGTGCTCTGTATGGATTCTTGTGTTTCAGCTGTTTAGATCAGGATCAAACACAACCTTCAAAAAGCCTTAAGTGTCAAAGTCCTCCTTCAGCACTTCCTGTACCAAGTCGTTCACTTAAATCCCTGCAGGGAATCACTGCACTGAGAGAAAGACCCTTAACGTCTAGAGTAAGACCCTAAAAATCCAACTGCCTTCATCTGAACGTGGTACAGCACACAGTGACTGCACTCTTAGGTCAACACAGGTTTAGCTGACAATGTGAGTGTGAAGGTGCTTTTTTTCTTCCCCTCTGGTTTCCTTGGTGTTGGCAAAGGGAGATGGAGTGAAAGAGGAGGAGTGGTTTCATCCAGCTCGAGTTGTGTTTTTTTAAGCATCATTTTCTGACTGTGACCTTGTGTTGGAAACTGTTTTGGAAAGTGTAACGTCTAATTTAATAAACTGAACCTCATGAAGGGAGTTGTGTGTCTGTGAGCGTTTTATTTTTATAAAAAATTACTCTTCATGGTGCTTTTTTCTGAATGATTAATGAAGGAGATTTACACCAACAACTTCAGAATGAAAATGCTTTGTGTCACTCCGGTGGTTCACCTGGCGGAGCATGTACCATTCAGGCTTAATCAATCTGATTGAATCTCAGTGAGATAGAAATCTCATTTTCAAGAGAGACCTTAACAAAAAATAAAACAAAAATGAACAGATGGTCTGAAAAGAATTTACAATACAATTTAAATTAAAAACAATAAGATTACAAAATTGTAATAGAAATAACACAGAAGGAGAATTAAAAACATGCAGAGATTATAAAACTGTTAACAGTCTCAGTTCTGGTTTAAAATCTTGTTTCTAAAATGTGGATAACTTATAGAATTTTTAATTTTTTTAATGGATAGTAAAGATTTCACAGATGTATTATTAGGCTTGACTATGATGAAAATTGTGTTCATAATTTTTTTAATTGTTATAATAAGAACATTATTAAGAATTCTAAAGAATCACATTAAAATATAAATGATGTATTTCTGTATCTATGTGCATTCTATTACATACTGCTGTAAATGTTTTTATGAAAATGTTGAGCTCATCAAAATATTTATAGTAAGAATCAATAGAATAAAGAAAACAAAAAGAACATGCACAAACATTTAATGAAAGAACTTTAATCCACAATGAAATAACACTCGTCATCTCCTTACAGGTTTTGTAAATTTTATCATTATTTTCATTAACAGATGATCCATTACCAGTCATAAGTTTTACAACACCTCTATTCTTCCTGTTGTTACTATAATGTCTCAGTGTTTCTGAAATGAAAGTCAACAGCAAAGAGAGATTTATTTTTAAATTATCACTGAATCTTTTTATTGAACTAAATTGAATCTAAATTTTTAACTCATCCAGCAGCTGAATTCCCCCCTGAGCGTCTTTCTACAGAGGAAATAAAACATTGTTCAGAAAGTTCATCCCAGCACTGTTGCAGAAGTTTTTACTAACATGTTGCACTTGTTACTCAGCTCTCACCTTCTGCCCAGTTCATCCCAAACCAGCTCCATGAGGTTCAGGTCTGGAGACTGTGCTGGTCTTCATCCTGTGGAGCCTCTGTCTGGTTCTGCTACTGCTCATTTTCTTGCTGTACATTGAAACCTATGAAGATTTAGAGTCCATCATAGCACAGAAACAGCTCTGGTTAAAGTTACTAATGATCTCCTCATGGCCTCAAACAACGGACACATCTCTCCCCACTCAAAGTGCAGCATTTGACACCATCGATCACATTGGTTATTACAGAGACTAGAACGTGTCATTGGCATTAGAGGAATTGCAAAAGGCTGGTTTAAGTCAGACTTATCAGATAGATTCCAGTTTGTTCATGTGAATAATGACTCTTCCAATCACACTCTTGTGTGAGCTTCTTTCTACAGAGGAAATATCACACTCTTGTGTGATTGGAAGAGTCTTTATTACACACATGGAGTTCCACAGGGTTCTGTGCTAGAACAGATACATTTCACCCTATATATCTGGTTCTGTTGGAGGTTTCTCCCGTCTAAAGGGAGTTTTTCCTCCTCACTGTCACCAAGTGCTGTGCATGGTGGAACTGCTGGGTTTCTCTCTATAATATTGTCAGGTCTTGACCTCACCTTTTAAAGTGCCTTGAGATAATGTATATATGATTTGATTCTATAAAAATAAAATTGAATTGAATTGAATTGAATTGAACTCCCACTGCTGTAGGGAAACTGGAAGTTAACCAACGTCTTCATCCCTGAAAAAGGCCTGTTTTCTATGAAATTTATAGAATTTTTCAGTTTTTGACTTAAACTTTTTAATCATACTATTATTATTCTATTCTTTGCTGTGGGTGGTTTCCTGCTGACCCGAGCTGCTGAATTTTCAGTAAAAACAGAAAACTGGTTTGTTCTAAAACCTTTGACTGGTACTTCACCACCACATGATCCCACCTCATCAGCTCCGCTTTGGACATACGGGAATTCATTTTCATTAAAACTGGACATTCTGTTCAAACTGTCATGAAAGATATTCATTTGAATTTTACATTACCTATTACTGTAATTCTCATAGTCCTAATGGGTAAATTTAACACACAGAGAGAAAATTCTTTATAAATCTCTTAAGATAAATGATAAACCACCAATGTATAAATACACTAGGCCCACTGTATATGTAAGTCTTTCTGAATGATTGTTTATTTGATTAATGTTTTATTATGATTAAATATTAGTTTTATATTTTAGCTTTATATCATTTGTATTATTATATTAATTTGTACTTATTACCACAGCATTGCAGGGATCTAGCTGCTGAAAGATGTGTGTATATTGTCGTTTTAAAAGGCACTGTAGTGCCACCCTGTGGTTGGATTAAGCCACTGCTGCTTTTATTGTACCACCAAACTTTTTATTGTGACATTTTTCCTTCATTATCAAATCAGTTTCTTACGGGAACTACTGAGATGATGAAGAGAAAACACGGAACAGAAACGTCTAGTCTAAAGATTCATTTCCCCCTTTTTTTTAAGTTTTATTTCATTAAATCATTTTTGCTTGTAATCCCTCCATTGTTGTTGATTTCAAATCAGTTTCGCAGTAAATGTAGGTACAAAAGTTTTAATCAGGGAAACATCATGTCATCTGAAGGAAAGGTCTTTTTTAAACACATACGGAAAGACTCGGGAAGGTTTCAGTTAGGCACCTCCAGTTCTCGCGGGAAAAGAGAGAGGGGTAAGAACTTATTTGTCCTGGCTCTTTGAACGGCTCTTCTGTAAATGTAGCCGTTGTAGCGTTTCCCGAAGCGAAGGCCAAACGGGTTGAAGTTGAATTTACTCCTGCGGTTGTTGCACAGCAGCTGCCGCTGGTCGTCATTCTCCCTCAGGGAGAAACACAGGTTGGGGTCCTCGTCCAGGAAGTCTGCTGCGGTCCTCCTGCTGAGCGCAGAGAGGACTGATCCTGAGCCAGGAGACAGGAGAGACATCAGCTCAGCTGGGAGAGAACCAGGAGTCCAGAACACCATCATTCACTATCACCATCACTTTAACTCATTCATCACAATAACTTTAATTTCTTTGTTTATATCAGATATTTTTTACACATGCAAAATCTCTCAGAAAAAAACACAGGTTAATCTAAAACACCAACAAACAAAGATTTCCCACAATTCCATGATGAGATTAAAAGTCTATGGAGTGTTTTGTGAATATATTTTTATAGGTTGACAAGTTGACAGATGGACTTGGAACTGTAAACATTTGAACAAATACAGAAAATGAATATTCATATAAAATAACAACCTCATATTCCAGTGATGTAGTAAATATATATTTATAGGACTCTATCAAGTTGTGTGTTTATGCACAATAACCACAATATGTGTAAGTAACTATAATTATAATATTAATTTAACTCAAATATTAAAAATAAATATGAGGTAACAGAATACAGCAGATGTTACAGCAACAATAGCATACATGGTCTGCTACAGTAGGGAAGTGTAGTTCTGTGATATGCTATAATAAGTAATTAGTAGTGTACTGTTATAGTATTCCTATATTCTTCTTACTATTATTATTGTTATTATTATTAGTGATACATAACATGTTAACACAATGTTGCAGTGGGTGGATATGGAGTTAATTTTCCTGCTTTAAATGCTGTCGAGTTGTATAATCTATAACAATACATCACATCTTAATCCTGAAATCATTTAAACAGAACTCTGAAAAGTAACTAATAACTATAATCATCAGATAAAATAAAAAGTACCATATTGTCCTCTGAGCTGTGGTGGACTGTATCAAGTAGTATAAAATGGAAATACTTCAGTAGTAACCTTGAGTAAATGATGGACCACTGTCCACTATTGGAGCAAAGTAAAATGGAGTAAAGTAAAATTAAAAAGTATTCTCTCCATTTAGAAAAATGAAATCAGATCTAAAAGCTGTACAATGCTACAGTTCAGCTGGTCAGGTAGAGCTCACCTGTTGCTTGTGTCCTCTGTGCAGAGTCATATCCTGGCAGAGCTGCTCCCACACTGCCTCCATCCTGACCAACAATCAGCCCGCACACCACCACCAGAGCCACAAGTCTCATCTTCCAGCACCAGATACAGATCAGCAGGTACTGACGCCTTCCCTCCATTAACACCTGTTTTATATTTCCACCATGACCTTGCGTTCCTCCTGCTCTCAGCCAATCACAGCCGCCTGCATCCCTGCGCTGTAAAATTGCGGAGCTGCCAGTGGTGCTTAAATGTATCATTCATCTGCTCTTCTTGGAAACGATCATTCATCCAGCGCAAGATAATGTGTCACTGCATGTTGGAAAATGGTGAAGAATGGAAAAAGGACTAAAACACCAGGACGTGTAATTGAACACACCAGTTTGTGGTTTGGCTGCAGCAGCAGTAGCAGCCGGGTGGACTGGGTTGTCACTGGAAAACTGATGTTCACTTCTACTTTATCCAGTTAGAGTGTTCAGATCCTTTACTTCAGTAAAAGTATAATACCACCATGTAAAAACACTGCAGTCCTGCATTTAAAATCCTACTTACTAAAGGTACTAGTAATGTTGTATATTACTACTATTAGTAGTAGTGGCACAAAAGTACTTTAAGTATCAAAAGTAAAAGCACTGGTGCTGCAGAAAAATGTCCTCTGGACCTGGAGGATTTCTCTGTCTGACACTGATTAGACTGAGGTGAGAGATTTATAAAGTCTTAGTGGTTGTGAGAAGGTGAATGGCAGAGGAAAGAAAAGTACATTCACCACTTTGTGGTAGTATCCCTCCGCCAACCAGCCAAGTGTCAGGAAATTTAGTCACAGTCTCTCTTTTCTGAGCTACAGCATTGAATAGATAGATGGATAGATAGATAGATACTTTATTCACCCCCTAGGTGAAATTTAAGAATAAAAGCAGAATAAAAAGAAGAATATTAGCCAAAAGTGTTTTTTCAGAACATTATGATGTCACACTGAAATTGACCTTTGACCTTTTGGATATAAAATGTCAGCACTTACTTTTATCCTTATAGACATTTGAGTTAAATTGTGTATGAATTTGTGGATAATGGACAACAGCATGTTTTGTGAGGTCAAAGTGACCTTTGACCTTTTTTGTATCAGATGTAATGAAATTCTGTCTGGTCGTTCCTGATATATTCCATTCATTCACAAAAACGTGAGGTCACCGTGACTTTGAAGTTTGTGCCAAATTTGAGGAAGTTCTGTCAAGGTGTTAATGAGATATTGTGTCCATGAGAATGGGCTGATGGACAGACAACCTGAAAACAATATGCCTCTGGCTCTGACTGTTACCGGCGCTAATACATAAAAACAAAGTCCTGATACATCAATCTTTTTCCAGTGTGTGTGTGTGTGTGTGTGTGTGTGTGTGTGTGTGTGTGTGTGTGTTAAACATTAATTTCATTTTACCTCTGTGAACGTTTATTTAAATAAACCATGTGAGGAGTAAAGAGAGGAAAGGTCTCTCTGTGGTTGATTCCTAACATCTCATAGACATGTGGAATTTGACAAGGGGCCCCTCACCAGGTCATAAACCAAACATACTGGGAACTGTGTTTTAGTACACTGTATTTTATTATTATTATTATTATTTTTTAAGCACATCATTTTATGTAAATTTTTAATCTCAGACTTCCTTGTGTTTAATACCAGTGTGTCACCAATGAGGCCCAAAGAAGCATAGAGTATCACAGTGTTAATGGCTTCATAAACAGACTCTGCTGCTGCATGTTGTACAGATGTGTGTTTTTGGACTTCACTGGCCTGATGCATGTTCTCTTCATGCCTGTGTGGGGTTCCTCTGAGTACTCCGGCTTCCTCCAAAAACATGCAGGTTAGTTGGCGTTTCTAAAGTTAGTATGAATGTGAGTGTGAATGGTTGTTTGTCCGTATATATCTGTAGTAACTTATGATCTGTGTCGGAGGGTAATGTTAATTATCTGAAATAAAAGATTGCGGCAGTTTGGTGTTATCGACAGGTTTGAGTAAATGTGTTTTCTCAGATTTTCATTCAATATTTGCTGATTTTCTTTTCACATTCTCAGATTTTTTGTTTATTTTCATGTTTATCTTTATTCAGTGTTCTCAGTTTTCCAATAAAATGCCTTGTGGTGGTAATATAATTTTTGTTCTGATGCAGATGAGACATTGTTTTACAACAGTTTGGACAAACCTGAGGGATCCGTAAGACTGTATTACTGTATACACACTAAAGGTACAGATACAGGTAAGATGCACCATGTTATTGCAGGTCCACCCCCACCTTGGTCTTTCTCCCCATATATCTTGTCTAGCTCCACCTCCAAGTGTCAAATATTTATTATTATGCAGGTTGTGTATAGGAGTTTTATAATATGTCATGTTATGTCATGTTATTTGTACATTTTGCTATTGCTACATATTTCACGTTAGCATAGGCAGCTGTTTACTTACAAGTCTAGAAGAAACGTTGTGAGGTCAGCATCAAACTTTATTCCTTTACTCACCAACCGCTGTCTCCAGAGGTGGAAAACAACCCTCTTGTTTTGCTTCTATTCCCTTCACTTTTTTTCTTCTACTGAAGTTAGCATGCTAACCGGTTAGCCCCAGCCCAGTCCTACTATCTCGTCACTTTCCGATACTGAGTCACTGTAGCCTCCAGTCTGTTCTGAACACGTAGCTGCTCAGAAGATGTATTATGACCTCTTGTCTTATAGATGTAACAATGGCTGAAGCTCTTGGCAAGACTGGTAAGTTAAATAAGCTGTTAAATAAACCAGATAATATAAGGGCAAAATGTGACAAGAAAAAAATCTAAAATATAACAAGTGAAAATAAAGTATCTATTACTAATGATGCTTAAATTCTGGAAACACTGCTATAACTTTCTTTCTGTGGGGTGGGCAGTACCTCACCCTGACCTTCTTTCATTCATCAACATTTTTCAATCACATTCAGTTCATATCATATAACTCCACCAAAACTTTCACCCTGACACCCTGACTGTGTGTGTGTGTATGTATGCGTGCGTTTTTGTTAACTCTTTAGGACCTTTTCTTGTACAAACACTGACCTTGGTCCTCAATGGGATCAAAGCCTGGCTGTAATGAGGTAAAACATCATCTCTGAAGTCATAGTTAAGGTTAGGGTTTTGGGTTTGGCTGTCCACAGTGAATGGAAGCCAGTGCAATGTCCTAACAAGGATAGTTGTGCAAACTTGTGTGTTTGTGTGTGTGTGTGTGTGTGTGTGTGTGTGTGCGTGTGTGTGTGTGTGTGTGTGTGTGTGTGTGTGTGTGTGTGTGTGTGTTAGTGTGGAGGTTCAGCCTCAACAGGCGGGGTGGAAGCTCTTTGCCTTTGTAAGTCCCTTTTATCTTTTCCTCTTGTGTCCTGGTGGACTGTCCCCACTGAGCTCAGGACCTTCACCTGCAGGCCTGTTTGAAGGATATCTCTTCAGACTGCCACACATCTGCTTCAGATTCCAGCTGCTGCCTGTCGGACACAAGTGTCAAGATGCCACTGTCCCGTTCTTTGTCCATGACGTCCCTGAGTGGGGTGCTGCCGGCCTGGGAGGAGGATGAGCTGCCTGTGGAGGACCTGTTACTCTTTGAGGTGGCCTGGGAGGTCACCAACAAGGGTAAGTCTGACCAGAAATCTGTGGCTTCTGACTATCACAGGTGTATTGATTTGTTCATTTCCAAAAGAAATGAGATGTTTCAAGTGATATTGATATTGTATTTTTACATTTCACATTATTCATTACACACACAGTCTGTGTATTTCAGGTGTTTGAATATAGCTTTCATTTCAAATCAGCCACACTGAAGTGAAAACATGAAGTGATGTTGGCAGGAAGTACTGCACAATAAAAATACAATATTTCATTTAAAGTAATCGATGAAATCATCTCACTAAGGCAGAAATTAGCACTTTAAAAGCTGGTTGTATTGGTAATATTTTGTGTAAAACTGCGACTCTTTGCCCCTCAAAGAGCAAATATTGAAATCTGCTCAGAGTGGAGTCAGAGTCTGCTCCCTCTGAAGAGTTAAACATTAAACTGCAGATAAGTAATGAAAGAGCAGATACTCCTGTGACCGTCTCATTCGTCTGAGGCTAATATGTGTCATGAATATAATTAAAGGCAAACATGAGAAAGTTAATTTGATGGGGAACCAACTGGATGAATAAATTGTCCATCATGGACTTAAGCTCCTTAGATCACCAAGTGTTGGTGACAGTGGCTCACCCGCTGCCCTGTGTTTGTCTGGGGTTGTGAAGTCAAATCAGGGTTTTAGCAGCAGCTTGGAAGTGACTGCTGGTTAATATATAGTTTTTATTAGACCACGTTTTAGTCATTGTTTCTAACTTGTTCCGTTGTCGTGACCACAGAAACAGAAAAACATGTCAATGAGAACTGTCCTGAGAACATTATTTCCTAACTACTGAGTACTCATGTAATGATGTAATATTAACATAGTAATAATGTGGTAGTGACTACTGAGTACTCATGTTATAATTTAGTAATAACATAGTAATGACTACTGAGTGCGCATGTTATAATGTAGTAATAATGTAGTAATGACTACTGAGTACTCATGAAATAATGTAGTAATAACGTAGTAATGACTACTGATTACTCAGTAATGACTACAGAGTATTCACGTAATAATGTAGTAATTACTACGGAGTACTCGTGTAATAATGTAGTAAGAATATAGTAATAACTACTGAGTACTCATGGGTCAGAATGTCAGCATGATCCCATCACAAGATGGTCTCTAGTTTTATTTAATTATAAATGTATTCATGTATCTTCTGGTGTGGTTCATAGGTGCTCAAGGACACCACAATTAAGTAATGAAATAAAATGAATGGTGTAATTATACTACTCCCCGTCAAGTTTAATTTTTGGGGGCTACTTTCATTATTTTGATGCACACATTTCGGTCATATTTACACAAAAAATTATTTTAGTTACATTTCCCAAAATAATACATATAGCATATAACGCACTGGCAAGTCATTTCACTAACCAACCTAGGCAAAAATACTTTATCCAAAATTAACTCTTGACCTCAAACCCTAAAATCATCATCAAGTCATGAAATCGTATTGGAATATTGATATTTGGAGAAAAATGCATCAGTTTTCCTTTCAGTTTTATGCTTTTTCTGCACTCTGTCTATCATTCTGTTAATCAGTTAATCAGAGACACAGTCAGAGGTTACACATGACACTGTCAGTTTATGAGACAGTATGTTGTATGAAGTAGCCTCCATGTGATCATCACATCAATAATAAATAGTTGCTTTGTTGCAAGAGAAATATTCATGTCACTTGACAGCAGTTGCACCTACGAAATCAATATTATTGATATTGATATTGATATAATATTATTTTCAATATATATATTTTTTTTTTACAGAAACCATAGAGTTTTGAGTCCTGAATGCAAGTCTAGTGTTTATATGCATCCAATTCATAATGTGGTCATGTTGTCAAACAGTTTAGAGGTCATTGGTCAGTCTGCTGTTTTCTTTGCCTTCACCTCTTACATAACCGCCGCTCTCTGATGCAGTTTAGACGTCATTATAGGCTCAGTGATTGTTGACGGTCTTTCATATCAATATTTGTCTTTTTGTTGCCAAGTGAGAGACATGAGAAACATTTCCACGTGTTTAAAAAACACACAAAATACTACAGCATCAACCTCGTGATGAAGATTCAACAATTCTGAACATTCAGAAGGAATATTTAGAGTCATACACATCCTACCTACTGTAGTGGGAACTACTGCAGAGGTGGTTTTGAGAACTTTGGCAGGTGATGGTCTGTCTGTCTGTCTGTCTGTCTGTCTGTCTGTCTGTCTGTCTGTCTGTCTGTCTGTCTGTGGACAGATCTTGTCATGGTGATATATCACAACCGTGCCAGTGACATTCAGAGGAATGTCACTGGAGCGGAGTTGGGACCAAAATGTTCAAAGATAGGTGTGGTGTGATCCATGAGTATTGAATGCTCAGAACAAAAATTACAGAAGTGCAACAACAAAAGTTTACTTCAGTAAAAGTCAAAAAGTAAAAGTTTGCTCCATTCAAACCATGTCACAGACCTGTCTGACTTCAATAATAATAGGTAACCTTTGACCTTTGTTGATATGTTGAAGGAGAACAGGGTTGTACAGGGATGTAAAAGTGCATGACCTTCATCTTTGTTGATGACATTAATATTGAAATGTACAACAGAAGTTAAACAATGTGTCTTTTCCTTCCACTGTGTGTGAACATGTAGTTGGAGGAATCTACACTGTGATCCAGACCAAGGCTAAGATCACAGCGGATGAATGGGGGGAGAACTATTACATGATGGGACCGTACTTCGAACAAAACTTCAAGACCCAGGTGGAAGCCTGCGAGCCCCCAAACCCCAACATCAGGAAGGCCATGGATTCTCTGATCCACAATGGCTGCCAGGTCTGAGAGAGCGAGAGAGTATGTGTGTTTGTGTGTGTGAATGAGCAGGGACAGCTACCTGAGATTTATATTGTCTTAATAAGTGTGGTTAAGTTTGGAGTGGACCGTCCTTTAATCAGAGACATGGTAGTTCTAACTCTGCCTCCTCCTGTCTATATGTCATAGTGTCCTTGAGCAAGTAACTGAACCCAAATTAAAATTGTCCTCGATGAGAAACATTGTAATCCACAAAAGTCTCTGCCACATGAAGGACAATTAATGTCCTCAAGTCAAAAACAATATATAACAATATTGCTACTCTTACAGCTAGTTGTACAGCTGCTACTGCAGCTGACAGCACCATCACTACTCCGACTTCTGTGTTGCTTTTTCTAATACTGATACTTATTCCAATATAATTGCTACTACTATACAACTACTATATATATATATATATAAGTTTGTAGTTATATAGTGATTTATACAATTTTACCACAATGTATTATTGATACATAAATTGCCACATATATTTACATATATGGAATATCAATATTATCTCTTTATCTTGTTTTGAAAAAAATTGTGTAAATTTTAAAATTTATTTGCAAGTTCATCACACACATTTAACTATATTATATCACATACATGTTGTTAACCTTGTTGCATGTAAATATGATTTAGATTCTACCAACCCAACACTGTCACTGGTGCTTGTGCAGCCTCTCAGTGTGTTAACCACATTGTCAGTGAAGAGACCCACCCACTGATCGAAGGCCACTAGATGGTGATCAAACACCAGAGAGAGACCCTGATGATCCAGGGATGTGACATGTTGTGTGGTCCAAATGAAAACCTGCAGCCTCGAGAGTTAAAAAATAAAAGATTTTTACTTTATCTCTTTGAGCTTCTTGCACTTGACTAGTTCTACATAACTACATTTATAAGCCTATTTATTTCTATAAAATAGTTTTGGTGTGTAAATTACGGCATATGTCATTATAGCTATGATGTGCCTCCATATATAAAGAATTAATTCTAGTCAAGGCTCAGTTGCAGGGAAATATGTGCAAGATGATGGATAATGCATTTAATTTTGTTCATTTCATGCAATACTGCAGACATAAAGGAAAAGAAAGGAATTTAAGGGGGATTTTAAATGTAATACTTTACCTTTTAACTTTGACTTTTTTAAGTATTTATGTTTTTAATTCTTCTACTCTAAGACATTTAAAACTTTTCCCACTGTTACTGACCAGTGATGCAAGTCAGCTGTGTGTCTGCCAGACTGCCTTTGAGCAAGACACTTGTTAGTGTCTTATTATAGCATGTTCCCATGTATCAAAGCACAGTGGAAATTTTAAAAAATGTGTAACTTTCTACAAAAGTACTTTCAGTGGATCTTCTCTGTCGATGCTGACGCTGCAGGTTCATTTTGGCCGCTGGCTGATCGAGGGCAGCCCCTACGTGATCCTGTTCGACATTGGCTCTGCTGCCTGGAACCTGGACCGGTGGAAGGGGGACCTGTGGCAGACCTGCAACATTGGCCTGCCCTACCATGACCGAGAGGCCAACGACTCGCTCATCCTGGGCTCCTTGATCGCCTGGTTCTTCAAAGAGGTCAGCTGGTATTCAGCCTGTTGATCAGTCACTCCCTTCATGTAGTTACAGTGTGAACTTATGTTATTTGGTGTTTTCCAGCTGACGGACAACCTCGGAGACAAACCAAATGTCATTGCTCATTTCCACGAGTGGCAAGCAGGACCTGGGCTTATTCTCTCCCGCTCCCGCAAGATTCCCATGGCAACCGTATTCACAACACATGCCACCCTGCTGGGACGATACCTGTGCGCTGGGAATGCTGACTTTTATAACAACCTGGACAAGGTGAGAGTGTTCAATTCATGTCTCTGTCCTTACTGAAGACAGAAAAACAGTCTGACAGTTCTACAATCTTTTTTTTTTTTTTTTTTTTTTTTTTTTTTTTTTNACACATGCCACCCTGCTGGGACGATACCTGTGCGCTGGGAATGCTGACTTTTATAACAACCTGGACAAGGTGAGAGTGTTCAATTCATGTCTCTGTCCTTACTGAAGACAGAAAAACAGTCACTGACAGTTCTATAATCTTTTTTTAGACATAACATCTCCCTGATGGAATACGTTTCAAAATCACAGAAAAGAAAAACATTGCTGGAACCAGAATACCAAATTACATTTTAGTAGTCAAGGGTCAAAGGTCAAGAATGTGGTGACCTCATAAAACATGGTTTTGGCCTTGTGAATGCCGTGGCCTGAAGGATGAAAGTTTGCTCCTGAACCCATTTCAAGTCGTATAATAAGAATCTGTCTCTACCAAGTCAGATCTGATATTTATTTGAATACTATTTTTTAAAAACATTGTTTTGATTTTGACAGCAGGATAACCTACAATTTTGGAATCATAGAATAGAATATGTTTCTCATACTGCTGATGTGATTTGCCATGAGTGATTATTACCTCTGCCAAGGAGGCTGTGTTTTTTTGTTTGTCAACAGGATTATGCAAAAGATACTGAACTGATTTGTACTGAACTTGGTGGAGGGATGGGGAATGGGCCGGAGAAGAATCCATTACATTTTTGTGCCTATCTGGTGAAAGAGGCGGATTCTATTAACATTGCAAGACAGGGTTTTTTTCTTTTTTTTTTTTTACATGTTCATGAATTTCTCAGTAATATTTGGATCTTGGTATAAAAACATCAGACATATTTAAGATGTTGAGATCTCTGAGTTTGTACAGTTTGGTGCAGATCCTGATCCAGATCCAGATAATAATCCAGATCTGAATATGGAGCTCTATCTAGTTATGGAGCTGTGATATTTCTGATATTTCCACGAGAATGTGTTACCATGACAACATATGCCAGATTCATTTTCACATTCCAAGGTTCAGGCCAAAAATCGCAGCCTTTTACAGCCACTTAGAGCATCATTAGTGATGCTGAGCTGTGTGGAGGGGTCAGGGTGATGTTTGTGATTGGCTCTGCTCTGCTCAGATCCTAAAGGTCAGCATGGACCTAAAGGCCACTCACTGGCTGAATGGATAATTGACAAACACCTTGTCTGTCAATTATCCATTCAGTCTGAACAGGAAGTCCAGATGAACTTCAGCTACTCTGTCAATAGAATCATATCAATATGCATTTTCAGCTCTGTTGACTGTGACACACTCTGCAGCCAGCATGTAAAATAGGATAAATAGTAATTATATTATATATAATTATATTATGTTGCATCATTTTCTGTTTTTTGCATGCTCTGCTCACTCAAACACACACACTCATGCAAACACACAAATAGATGCATGTAAACTCAAATACACAATATTTCATACAGGTCTTGTATTTTCATGCTTTCACATAGCATTTCTAATCAGAATGATAGAAACTTTGATAAACTGCTGGAATACTGTAATAAGACACATGAAAAAAAAACATGAATTTATTTTAAGGACGATATCTCACATCATGTTATGTTGTTGTGTTTCACAGGTTGTTGTGTTGCTGTGTTCACAGCTTGGTGTGTGAGGCTACAGGATGTAGCTATAGCTGTGATAAAACAAGACAGCGTTTTAATATATATATATATATATATCTATACCTCCATCCCCCATCAAACCACAGGGCCTGGTGATGCTGCACTGGCTGTGTTTCTGCCACTATATGTTGGAAGTGCAATACAGCTAATATGTGAGCTATAGTACAGTTTACCAGAAACTCTTTATAGTGTATGCATCAGTACACAAAGACATTTATGAGGCAGGTTTCTCATGTGACCGGATTACTGTAATCTATTTACAGATTCTGATGGTTTAAATATCACAGAAATTAGATACTTTACAATCACGACACTCCAGTGAGGCACAGTCTGTAAAATCACAGTTCAATCTTATTTTTTCACTTTCAGTGTGTGAATATTAACAGTTTTTGTAAATGTAAAGGTTAAAAATGAGAATCCTTGAAATAATTGCCCCTAAAACTGTCACCGCCACTTCTCAATCTCTTTCTCTCTCTCCATGTGTGTGTGTGTGTGTGTGTGTTGCAGTTCAACATTGACAAGGAGGCAGGTGAGAGACAGATCTACCATCGTTACTGTCTAGAGAGAGCTGCAGTCCACTGTGCTCATGTCTTCACCACAGTCTCCCAGATCACTGCTGTGGAGGCCAACCACATGCTGCACAGGAAGCCAGGTGAGGAAGCTTTCACTAATTCAGTATTGGATTACCTGCAGTTTGGTTGGTCACTCTGTAGGTCTGATCATCTGTCCAACAAATAAAGTATGAATATTCATGGTCCCCGGAGGATGAAGCCAGAGTTTTGCTGACCCCCTCTAGCACCACCTTCAGGGCAAACTGACCAATTATGCCTACTGTCATTAAAGCCCTCCTGTTGCTGTGTTGATGGTACAGATGTAGTGACTCCAAATGGGCTGAATGTGAAGAAGTTCTCAGCCATGCACGAGTTTCAAAACCTGCACTCCACCAGCAAGGCCCGCCTCCAGGAGTTTGTCAGAGGACACTTTTATGGGTGAGGGTTTTTTATTCATGCAGCTCTGATCTCATGTCATTCATATTTTGTAGATAGATAGATAGATAGATCTTCATTAAAACTTATTGTGACTCTTTTCCTCCTGGCAGTCATCTGGACTTCAACCTGGAGAAGACTCTTTTCTTCTTCATTGCTGGACGCTATGAATTCTCCAACAAGGGAGCTGATATTTTCCTTGAATCACTGTCCAGACTCAACTACCTGTTGCGGGTGATGTCCTTAGGTTTTATGCATACAGGACTAATTCAGCATGTGTTCCTGTCTAAATCCTTAGTTATTGTCCTGTCCCCCTTTGTTCTTCTCTCTCTTCATAGGTCCACAGAAATGATGTAACGGTGGTAGTGTTCATCATCATGCCTGCCAAAACTGACAACTTCAATGTGGAATCACTGAAGGGGCAGGCGGTACGCAAGCAGCTCTGGTATGTCATACTGTAGTTTGAATAACAGTCCAACACCAACATAAGTAGATGATACTATACATGCAGCATGCACATTTACATATGAAACATTTGACTAACAACTCCAACCCAGATCAGGTACAATGACTAGGCAGGAAGGCAGATTTGCCACCAAGCACTTTAGGAGCACTTGTGCACCTGCTTACTCTTGCAAATATCCAATCAGCAAATCAAGTGGCAGTGGTACAATGCAGATACATCAGGAGCTTAAATTAATGTTCACATCAAATATCAGAATGGGGAAAAATGTGAAGACAAGGTGATCACTTACCTCTTATAGTGAAACATCTTCAAGCGTAAAAAGGAGATTTTTTTCAGGTGATCCACAGTAACATAGTTTCATTTTCAAAAAATAAGGTTGTTCTTAGAACGTCAGTGGGATTGAAACCACAGAAAGAAGATCCTACTTGGATGTTGTCATTGCTTCCAGTGAGAGACAGGGTGATGTTGGTGTGGTGTTGTTCGTCAATGGTGAGTGCGTCGAGAAGTTGTCGAGAAGCAAAGTAAAGGTTTTTGGCACAACTTCACCTACTTCCAAGGTGTATGCAGAAAGGAAAAAGCAGTCTAAAGGGTTAAAACTCCAGCAACACTTACAGTAAAGATCATCTCAGTGACTTTGGGTGTGGTATGATTGTTGGTGCCAGACTGGTTCAAGTTTTTCTCCAAAAAACTGCTGATCTCCTGGATTTTCACACTCAACAGTCTCTAGAGATTTTACTCAGAATGGAGCAACAACAAAAGCATCCAGTGAGCAGCAGCTCTGTGTTGATGAGAGAGGTCAAAGGTGAATGGACAGACTAGTTGGACTGGACAGAAAGGCTACGGTCACTCAGATAACCACTCTTTACAACTGTGCTGAGCAGAGAAGCTTCAGAGTGAACATGTCAAACCTACAACAGCAGAAGACCAGGTCAGGTTCCACTTCCTGTTACCAAGACCAGAAACCTGAGGCTGCAGTGGACACAGACTCACCAACACTGGACACTGGTGGTGTGATGGATGGTTTGGGGAATGTTATCTTCCTAATACCAATCAATCATGGTCTGAATGTCTCAGTCTATCTGAGTATTGGCAGGAGATTGGCAGCATGAATATGCAGCTGACAAATCTGCAGAGATGATGTGATGCAGTCATGTCAACATGGATATTCTAATGGTGTGATTTTGACGAACCTAATGGCATCAACAACTACTACCTATCATGTTATATGGTTTGAAAGACTTGTTACCACTCGAGCTGTTGGGGGTTAAGCAACTTGCTCAAGGGCACCTCAGCAGCTGCTATGAAAGAAGGCAAGCACTGCTTCCTCAGTCCTACCCAGGTTTGTGCTGCTGGTCCAGGAACTGACTGGACCACTTCTCCAACTTCAACAATTATAGGATGGTTTCTCAAACTCTAGGCCATTAAATTCAGAATGACTGGCTCAGTCTAATATGATTTCGGTGAGTTTGGGATTGAATGAGTTTTGGTTTAACAATGCAGTTGAAGCTTTCTGATGCAGGTTTGTATTTATCTCTCACAGGGACACAGCTCACACCGTGAAGGAGAAGTTTGGAACAAAGCTGTATGATGCTCTGTTAAAGTAAGTATATTGATACTGTATGTGAACCCATAGCTTTATTGATTTTGGTGAGGGATTACATTGATGTGAAATTGCTGAGTACATCAACACTGTTCTTCTGTGACAAATGATTGTATTGTCTGCTCTGTCCTCAGAGGGAATATCCCTGACATGAACTCCATCCTGGACCGAGACGACTTCACCATAATGAAGCGAGCCATCTATGCCACTCAGGTACTGGAGCCTGTTTGTGTTTCTTCTTCATACTCCATTTAAATAAGTAATAACACACTTTTCGGTTGCATTTCTGCCATCTATTGTGTACAAAATTCTAATATTTACTTCATTTGAATGACTTACATAGTCAGCAGGTAGTAAAGTTTCAATGTAATGTATTGCTGTTCTCTAAACTCAGGCACTCAAGCCTCTTACCCCTCTGTATTCTCACTTTAACAAAGCTTTATTTTCCCATAATACCCACAGTCCTGTTCAACCCTCAATGTCCTGACATAAATCTATGAATTGCAAACTCCATACAGATCTACAATAGACTAGGCCAACCCTATAATCTGGAATGTCAGTGACTGATTGACTGACTGACTGACTGACTGATGAGCACTTTCAATACACTGAGCCTCTCCTCCATTACAGCAAATAAATTACTTTCATTCCAATATCATTATTACTAAAGGAGGCAGAGAAATAACTAAACAGACACACAGAGCAGAGAGAGCAGGAGAGAAGGAGGGAGAGAGAGAAGTCATTGGTAACGAGGCTTCATACTAACCACTATGACCAACTCTACATATCAAACAGAGGGAGTTAGACATAAAAACCTGCCTCTTATAAAAGTCTGTGACATTCTGGAGTTGAAGAAAATAAAGACTAAACTGTTGTGGATCCAGACGGACGCTGTGCTCTGTGTGACAGACTGAATAAGGAAGACAGACTGTCTCTTCTAACTTGCTCCCTGAGTGATCATGTTGCAGTAAATCCAGCTGAAATCACAGCTCAGTCTTTGTCTTTCAATTATGTGTTTAGTATTTGGCAGACGATATCGCAGTTATAAAATCAGGATTTGACCATAGGTCCAGATATGTACTAGGTTTAGACCTATGGAAAGGAAAGTCACTAAAGGTGTCTGAAAAGTCAGTAATTCTAGCAACAAGGGCAACACCGCCTGTATATGCCCCCCTGATGATGTTCAATTCATTTTGAAAGAACAAGAGTGGGGGAACTCCATCGTTTAGCCTGCCGACCAATGCTTAAACGTCATCACCCAGTCAGTCAGTCAGCAACATCTGTGTTCATAGAAAATTGAAAAAAATCTGGAGGATAAATTTCCACCAGCATGCTCTCTGTTTTCATTAGATAAGGTATTTCCTCAGGACAGATCAATGCAGGCGATGGCCCCTGCTGTGGATGAATTATAAAAGGACATGAGGGGGATTCCACTGAGCAAAAACCATGAATGAACATCAGCGCTGTAACCAAGCCAAGCGTGGGTTAATTACCCTCCTCTGCCCCAGACCATGGGGTCAATAGACTGTCTGTGTCGAAGTGATGTATGTTACAGCACAGTGCTACGAGTGCAGAACCTATACAAAGGTCTTTCTCAATTAAATGAACACATGCCAGTGTCAATATTTCATTTGTCGGAAATGGAGTGCAAGTGGTATTGACCACAAAAGTGTGAGGGGAGTGATGGAACGGAGACTCGTTCCGATCCGTGATTGGGGGAAGTACTGTTGTATTATTTTTCTATTTGTCATTTTTTCATCCTCCCCAGCCCCCTCCCACCCCACGGTTCAGCCTTGTTTATTTCACTAACTTTTATCACATTGAGGAGGATGTTTTACTGAACAGTTGCTCCTCCTTCAACCAGCAACATATGAAGAATTCTTATATATTTACTGACACTTCAGAAGTTGCGTTTGTGTATATTTGTGGTGATTGTGCATAATTGAAAAAAAAACATATTTTCTTTCCTCTTGCCATAGTTTTGATGTCCAGGGTTTCAGATATATCTGTAAGCTACAGCCTAATACAATGGAGGTGAAAGGAAAAACATTTGCAGTGTTAACACCATCTCACAGATAAACCAGAGACCTCAGAGTGAACAGTTTACATTCAACAGACATGTACATGTTCTGTTTCGATATTGGTTCAAAATAATTGCTTTTGATTACCTATACAGCTCACATGAATATGAGTTCCTCAGCATGTATGGATTCTGATTTAAAAACAGAACTACAGATTAGTAATCATTAAATTATATCTTTTCAACCGTCCTGAGGTTATTCTTATTATATCTTACTTAGATCTTGTGATAGTGTTTTTTAGAGGAATTACTCTTAAAATGTGGTATCTTTGTAGTGGGAAAAAACTATTCTAACCATATGGAATAATTTCATCCCGTTGTTAGCATTTCTTACTGTCTTACATGTGTTTAAACCATCTGAGCTAAAGCTACTGTGTTTGCATGTGTGTTTGTGTTTGTGTACGTGTGTGCACATGTGTGTGTGTATTCATCTATCCAGCCTTTTGGTGTGTTATTTCCATGGGCTGAGGAACAGGAGCGTTGTTCTAGTTTGTAAGCGTTGTTGTTTGTTATAAGGTTCAGGGAGATCTTATGCACTTGATGCTTCACCTGGTGATTAGCCAATTACAGTCAGCCATAGTGCTCACATTTTGAAATAGAGGTCTGTTTGTCTGAGCCAAGATGACAAATTTGTTCATTTTTTTAAAGTAATATTTTTGGCCATTTTATGCCTTTATGAGATAGTAGCAGTGGAGGCGGATGGGAAATTCAGGGAGAGTAGTGAAATGACACGCAGCAAAAGGTCCGGCTGGCCGGGTGGTATGCGCCTTAACCATTCAGCCATCAGGTTGCTCCACAGATTTGTTCATTTAATCGAAAAAAAAAGTACTTGATCCAGCAATTTAAAGTCATATTTTATCTTTCAATGTGTCCATGCATGCAACATTCTTCAGTTTGTCACATGACTAGGTACAATGTACAGCAAAGAGAGAAAGTTGACGCTTCCTTCCACTGAGACACAGGAGAAGACTTTTAGTGCTCTGTACCTGCAGAGACATGAATCCTCTGTCCAGTGATGTTCACAGCAGACTATGTCATTCAGTTTTTTTATCCTGATGCAATGGGAATTAACTGTATTGACTGATTAGTCGATTAACATTATTATCCCTGAGGTGATATTGATTGGCAGTGTGGGCATAAGACCGCAAGCTAGGAAGCAAAGATTGAAGCAAAGATGAAAGAATCGTCAATATCTTAAAAAGGATGATATAATTCAGGAAACTGTCCCCCTTTAAAATGATGAAAATATAACCATGACTATCAGGATTCACTTTGACCTTTCCCTGCTCCTGTCGTCCCTCTTGTGTTGTTTCCCTGTTTTCAACATATACTTCCCACTTCCTGCTGCAGAGACACAGCCTCCCTCCAGTGACCACTCACAACATGCTGGATGACTCAACAGATCCCATCCTGTCCAACGTCAGACGCATTGGCCTCTTCAACTCCAGGAACGACCGCGTCAAGGTACACATCACATCCTCTGAACTTCATGTTTAGGCTATGATATAATTTTGAGAATAAAATCATAATATTACAAGAATAAAGTTGTAATTTTAGAGGGGAAACATCAGAAGCTTTGAAATGAGGAACGTGGAGCATCCTGTGAAGTTCTTCTTTAGCAGAGGTTTCACAAATAAGGAGATACTTCATGTCTTGGCTCATTATCATCATCATCACCAGCATCATTGGCATCATAATCATCATCATCAGGGCATTGAAAAGATTGTGAAGAAACTGAGTCTATTCTATTGTTAGACGAACAAACAGCAGCTGCCAGAAGCAGCTCAGGCTGACACTGACTCTCCTTTGACCTGTTTGGTTGGTTGATGTAATATTCCTAAAAATTATGTTTTTTTTTCAAATTTTACATTTCATTCATTGGGATATTATGACTTTTCTCTCGAAATATCACAGATTTCTTTTTTTCCTCAATGTGGCCCATATGCTCCCTCACAATAAAGTGTGTTCTATGAGAAAAAAAGCATCAAAACATCAATAAACAACTGTTGACTGTAACTGTCCAATAAAAATCAGCAGCTTCATGTGAAAAGACATCCAGTGAATAGTGATTTCTAGCAGCAAAAATTTTCCCATTAAGAAAGTTATTGCTCATATTCTATTTTTCAGTCACATCTTCCCCTGAGGGATGACTGTATCTGCTGTTATATATATATTTATATATATAGTGCAAAAAGTTTAACATTGTATACGAGAAAAAATAAAATCGGTCTGAGGCGTGACAATAGATGAGAAAGTCACAAGGCCACCGGAACATCAAGAACCATCCTCAGTGAACCATGAATATAGTTTAAGATCTCTATCGTAACATGCTGCAGCTGACGATAAGTCTAAGTCTATCCTGTTGAGTTGATAAGTGGAAAGTAATTGCAGATGGTGACTAACGAACATATTTACTTCCACACACTCATGTTTTTATTCTCTCTCTCCTCCTCCTCCTGTCAGATTATCTTCCACCCTGAATTCCTGTCCTCCACCAGCCCCCTGCTGCCGATGGACTATGAGGACTTTGTTCGTGGCTGTAACCTCGGAGTGTTCCCCTCCTACTATGAACCATGGGGATACACACCTGGTAGACTTTCACCCTCACGTTGAAACTTATCATATGCAAGTGTAGCTGCATTTAGACACTAGGAATGTTCCTAATGACTAGTTTCCCTGACAATTAAATGGAAATTTAAATTGAGACTCGTCATAAAGTGAGAAAACAATCAGAAAACAGTCAAAACTGCTGTGATGAGCTGCATTATCTTTACATTATCTTTACTGCGTCTGCACATAAACAATATCATATTGTTAGCTGAGTGTGGCTAACGTTAGCAGTGCCAGCAGCCATCTTACTTTGCAGGTTAGTTTCCACATGACTGTGCTAAATGTGGTTACACATGGCTCCAGTCAAATGGTTATATGTTTATTCTGACACAGCCTCCATATGATGAGTTGTCATCTGTCCCACTTCCCACCTTGGTAGTTTACAACATAGGGCATTAGGAGAAGGGGGCTGCATAACATCTTGGATGTAACAGTTAAACAGTGTTGTACATTAATAAAATATTAATAATTAGTTTATTCCATGGTTCAAAATTGTTAATTCACTTCTGGATTTTAGGACAACAAACTTTATCATCCTGATAGCTCCATATTTATAATTCTCTCGAGATGGTTAAATCACATTTACAAAAATGAAATCAGCTTCTACCAGACATTCATTGCCCAAAAATTGTATCATATTCCAAGTGGCCGGCAGCAGCTGTATTGTGTCACCCACCACCCCCCCAAAAAAGAAAAAAAAAGTAAAATGACAACAACAAACAAAATAGGGCTGAGACTGATAATTATTTTCATCAGTGAATAATCTGCCAGTTGTTTTGGTTTAATATATCAGAAAACAGTGAAAAATGTCTGACCAAGAATAGAAAACAAAAATATTCAGGCCACTACACAGAGTTTGAGATTAAGAGAAGCAGCAGATCCTTGCGTTAGAGAAGCTGAAACCATGAAATGTTTTTAGACTGAAATGATTAATTGAAAATAAAAATAGGTGCTAATTAATTTTCTTGTGATGGACTAATCTGTTGTTGCAGCTGTGAAACACTGTGTGTGTTCTCTGACCTGGGTCTTTGTCTGTGTCCAGGTGAATGTGCTGTCATGGGGATTCCCAGTGTGACCACCAACCTGTCAGGATTCGGCTGCTTCATGGAGGAACATGTTACAGACCCTGCTGCCTATGGTACACACACACACACACACACACACACACACACACACACACACACACACAGTCTGAGGCAGCCAACCCAACAACCATTAAGCACAACATTGCTTAGTGCTGCTACAAGTTGACTGTGGTGTTGGCTAACACAAGTAGCTAGCTACTGTTTGATTAAAAAGAAACAAGACTAGGTCTAAACCTATTATATGTCTGGATCTCCTATGGTCAAATCCTGATTTTATAACTGTGATGGCATCTGACAAAATCACCAAACACATAAATGAAAGACAAAGACCGAGCTGTGATTTCAGCTGGATTTACTGCAACATGATCACTCAGAGAAAAAGTTAGAAGAGACAGAATATCTTTCTTTTTTTAAACTGATTTTTTCAGGCTTTTGCCTTATAGTGTGAGAGAGAGAGAGAGAGAGAGAGAGAGAGAGCAGTTAGCAATGACTTCTCTCCCTCCCTCTCTCCTGCTCTCTCTGTTCTGTGTGTCTGTTTAGTTATTCCTCTGCCTCCTTTAGTAATAATGATACATGTTATGAAAGTACTTTATTTGCTGTAATGGAGGCAAGACTCAGTGTATTGGAAGCACTTCTCCTCTTCCATGCAGTTCCCGAGCAGCCAGGAAACCAGAATGGCTCAGTAGACTACCCATGACAAGAGGTGTAGCCCTAAGCCCCCGGTCCTGAACCAGTTTCATACCCAGTCTGTTTGAAAAAAATCTCTAAATGTAGAGACAATGAACTAAGTTGGCAACACTGCAACTGTGAACACACCAGGCCCGGGTCTCAACTGCTTTGATTGGGCACTAAGAGATGTTGACTTGTCACTAACTGCCAGACATTACGCTATAACATGCACTGTTTTATGTAACTTAAAACTAAAGCTATAGAATCTAATAATACATAAGCACATATTTTTTTTACTTTATTGTCATTTTATAAATGATGGTTTATTTCAACTAACTACTCTTTTGTTATATTCTGATCTCCCTCTTGCTTCTCAAATATATTCGAGGAACCTCCTCTCTATGGACCCGCCTCCTTTGGTCTGAGATATCAAATGTGTGTTCCTCCTCAACAACTGATTTTGTCCTTCTCCTCCCCCCTCCCTGTCCTGTTTCTCTCTCTCGCTCAGGTATCTACATTGTGGACCGACGGTTCCGCTCCCCCGAGGAGTCCTGTAACCAGCTGACCCAGTTCATGTTCAGTTTCTGCCAGCAGTCACGGCGTCAGCGCATCATCCAACGCAACCGCACTGAGAGGCTGTCCGACCTGCTGGACTGGAGATACCTGGGACGGGTCTGTTTCTGCTTGATGAGAGGGACACTAACATAATCTTTATCCTGTTTCAATTCAGGTTTATTCTGTATTCATGCCTGCACATACCATTCACATGAAGTAAGTTAAATGGGGTCTTACTGTTGCTGTACATCTTGTGATTGACAGTTCTACATACATGCCCGCCATCTCGCACTGAGCAGAGCTTTCCCAGAGAAGTTCAAGGTGGACCCCATAGCTCCTCTGAAGGTGAGCACTGCTGAACAAAAACATGAGAGAGAGTTTGTGAATGAATGAACAATAGACCGAATACTTTTGCCTACAGGCTCCCATTGTCTAAATTATTGGTTTTAATGCTAGGTTTTAAAGATCCTCCAAACATGTTTTAAATCCTCTGCTGTGATTCATATTTAGATTAACATGCTTTTCACACGTGAAAACATCATCTACTCTTACTTCCTGATTGAGAAATCTGGATCAGGCCTTGAGCCCCGCCCCTGTCCCCACAAATTGACAGGATTGGTTCCTTAGGTTTGTGATGTATGAAACCCTGGCTGTCTGAATCTGTTTTTATGAGACTGTCAATGGTTCACGGCAGTTCAAGGTGGAAACACTCAGTCATGGTGTTGATGATTATTTCACTCATCATATGTCTTGTATTATCTAAAAACACCACAGGGATGTTAACAAGGTTAAACACTTGATTTTCATCAGAGAGGTCTTTAACATTTTGAAACTGCACCTGGATCTGCATCTTCATTTCAATTACTTTATGTGAAGCAGTTCACAGGGAAGAGAAGCTCTTGAAAATGTTATATTCTGTAACACATGTCAGATTCTTTTTATGTAGCAAAGACTAACAGCTGTACTCAGTGGGTTGTTAAGCACAATGTCTCAGTGGTGCTACAAACTGAAAATTACCTTTTGTTCCCAGTAAAAAGTTATTTCCTCTACTTCCACATGCATGTGCATGAAATTCCCTCTTGTGTACTGACTGACACACAGTGCATATTGTTTGATTTTATCCACACTGGTCAGGCTTTAATTGACAGTGTAACATTTGGATGAATGACAACACATCATTTTGGATGGTGCTAAGGCTGAACACCGCTGTGCTACATGAAATAAGACTTTATCCTCTGGTTCAAGGACTGTGACTGATACCATACTTGATACATAATTTTCAGATTTCATATGATTCTGGATTTTAAAGCCACAATTAGATTCAATTTTAGATTAAATACAGATCAAAACATATTCATAATTATATTAATTCATTCATAATTATCTTGTGGAAAAGACAGGAAGAAATAGGTTAATGAAAAAAAGGAAGGGAGTGAGGAAAGAGAGGGAAAAGGAAGGACAAGGGAAAGAAAGTGGAAAAGGAAGGAGTGAAAAAAGCAAGGAAGGGAGTGAGGAAAGACATGGAAAGGAAAAAAAAGTAGAATAGAATGGAAAGAGAAAATATAGCAAAAAGCTAAAATGACGAGAAAAGACAAAAAGTTCCAAGAGGAGGACAAATCTCAGAAGTTGGGCACCTCTTTGACCATTTTGGATTAGCTGGGAGCTCGGGGCGGAGTCAGACCAAGATGGTGACGGTGCGGCAGCTCACCCTGAGTTTCAAAACTGCTCTTCAGAAACCTTCGGGTGACGTCACAGAGGCTACGTCCATCTTCATATATATACTCTATGACATAAACACAAGACTTGATGGAGCAGCTGGTTGTGATGGATAATCTATTTGCAGCACGTTTGAAGTCTCTGCTGGATGGTTTTCATACAAATGAACTGAAAGCTTCTTGGAAAACAGAAAATCCTTTGCAGTATATTCTAGAAAATGATAATAACTGTATTTTTCAATAACTATATCTCCACAGACAGAGGGTTTCCGATACCCACGCCCCTACTCGGTGCCCCCATCTCCCTCAGCCTCCCTCCACTCCACCCCCCACCACAGTGATGTGGAGGACGATGATGATGACGAGCCCTACGATGAAGACGAGGAGGCCGAGAGGGACCGGCTGAATTTCAAGGCTCCCCTTGTGCTGGGTGCTATGCCTGAGGGAAAGAAGAAGCAACCAGGAGAGTCAGGAAATTGAAGAGCAGCAGATTTTACACAGGTTTATCCAGTCACCCAATGCTTCTGTGAGGTGTGTACAGAACGAACACAAAAATAAAATGAATATATGAATCTGATTAACTCACATAGTGTACACTAGTGAGGGAGAGCGCACCTCCCTGCTACAGTAAACTTACCCATCTCCACTGTACTTCTGCTGATGCCAGGTCAAACCTTAAACTTCATCACTTGCATCCAAGGTTTTTTTGAAAGTTTGTGGATTCAAAACAAGATTTAAAAGTCTCTAATGTATTTTGTAGATAGCATTATTTCACTGCCCTAGGTCTCATGAGACCTGGACAGACCTGGACCAAATGCCCTGTAGCCCAGTTTAATTGTGGTGTTCCCCAAGGCTTTATCCTCAGCCCACTGCTGTTTTCAGTGTATGTGGATGTTGTCTACAGCTACTATGCAGATGACACAGTCTTATCTTCTAATGCAATCCAATAATTGTAAAAGGCTAAATAACTGTCTGCCTTAGTTACACAGTGAAATAAAAATGATGCATTTTACAAGTTATAATCCTGTGTCGATGTGTTAATTGTTCAATCATTGCTTGGTTACTGTCAAATGTTCAACATGTCTAACTAGAATCAACCTCCTGGTTGTTTCCTCCATCAACCAGCCCAGTGTAAGGAAATGTAGACACAGTCTCTCCTTCCTGAGTTACAGCACTGAATAATGTCCAGAAGTGTTTTCTCAGAACATTATGACCTTTGACCTTTTGGATATAAAATGTCATCACTTTTTATCCTAGACATTTAGACATTTGTGTCATAATTAGTGAATGAATTAGTGACTTATGGCCAAAAACGTGTTCTGTGAGGTCACAGTGTGACAGGGGTTAATGTGAAGTCACCTGGACCTTTGACCACCATAATCTAATCAGTTCATTCTTGAGACCTAGTGAATCTTGGTGCCAAATTTGAAGAAGTTCCATCAAGACGTTACTGAGATATCGTGTTGACTGTTGCCGGCATGGGGGCTTAACAAGCTCTTGTTTGTATATCAAAATCTTTCTCTTATCTCTTCTTGTAAAACATTAAAATATTTTTGATGACTCATTCTAAACTTGCACATGTATACAGTACTTAAATGTATCCAATCAAATGTAATGTGGGGTAACAAGATAACCAGTCATATTATTCAAAATAATCTCAATCATTAGCTTGTGAGGTGTAAAAGCCAGCAAAGAATTTCATGGGTCTGATGTGCGTGTTTGGATTTCAGTTGGTGAAAACCTTATTTATATTTCCAAAGAAAGTAGTCTAATTTATTCTCTCATCCTGCTCCTGGTCTAACGACAAAGATGGGAGAGGTGTGGGTGGAGATCAGTCATCTTCAGCCACACTGAACAATCCAATTACATTTGTAGGATCTGATTTACATCCCCCTCATACACCACACACATCACATTACTGAGGTCAAACAAATTCTACCAGACATTTTGATGATTATTTCTGCTTTGATGACAAAATGAAGAATATTTTCCAGTCCTGTTGTTTTCAATTCAAGAAAATTGCAAAAAATTAAGTTAAATTAAAAAATTGAACGTACTGTTAACCTTTATGTTGAAAGTGTGTGTGAGTGCGCCTGACGTCTTCAAACAGGTGGGAGATGGTGACCTGGTGCAGGCATAACAACTTGGAGCTGGACGCTCTAAAGACAGTGGAGATGATTGCGGACTTGCGGAAGAGCCCGGCCCCACCATCCATAACTCTATGTGACTCTCCAGTTGAGACTGCTGAGTACTTCCCGGGCACCAATATCATTGCTGTTCACCACAGGGTTTTGGAGTTGAATTTAAATTCCCCAAAACTGGAATTATGTGGTTTTCATGTGACACAGTAATACTTTGTGTTGAACCATGTTAATTAATTCAGTCTCCACTTATCTGACTTCAGTCCTTCCATCAGATGTTAGACGTTGGATGCAGGGATTTTCTCTCATTAAGCCCTGAGGGCATTAGTGAGATCCAGCACTGATGTTGGGCAGTAATTTCTGCTCTGTATGTTGGGCAGGAGTATCCACATACTTTTGACCACATCTTTCTAAGAGAATATGCTTAAAAAATAGTGTCTGCACAAAAAAAGTGGCAAATATTTGAATCTGAAAGACAATTTAACAACTCTTATTGGTTATGTCCTTCAAATGCTCATATATAATCTTGATTAATATGTATACTTAATATGCCTTTATGAATACTGTATGTTAATCTTAAACTTGGTGATAAGTGGAAAGATTTTGACCCACAATTTTATCAAGGAAGTCGAGGAAACCTCAGAGAATCTCAGAGCAATAGCCTCTTTTTATTAAAACATCACATTTCAAACATAGTCAGAGAATTCATATTTACAAAACAGCTGTTCATCTCCCTCACACAGGACTGAACAACCTACATTCAAAAACAAAGACTTCTTGTGGCAGCTTTACAGACGTCTGAAAGCCCATCAGAAGAATTCTCTCTTCCACACCGGCAGCTCCTTGAAATACACCTCGTCTGGGTTTTCATCAGCTGGAACAGAGGGAGAGAAAATTAACCCAAAATTACAGAATTAAAACATAGATTTTGAGACAAAGCCAAAGAACAAATTAGGGCTTAGCATCAGACCTTTGTGATGTCATTTTTTACCCCAGACTGAAACATTTTCCTTGAGTTTCATCAAAACTGGTCATGAAAGTTTTATTAAAATCCTTAAATTTGTTAATGGGAACTCTGTGCTATTTGCAGCTGTGTTGAGTTTAAAATCATTAAAACAGCACAGAAATTAACTGCAGACACCGGTTTTGCAGTAAAAGTTATCCAGTACCTATCCACTAGTCATAGTAATAGTTATACAGTTGGACCAAAGGTGTCATCTCTAATGGTGATCAGGGGTGGAGCCAGTTGGTGTAAACATTCAGGGTTTAGCCCAAACTTAAGGGGCTCAAAATGAAACCATCACATGTTCTGCATCAAGCCCAAAGGCTCCGCTAGTTGTCTGGTGACCTATACATGGTGATATTTCCCCAGTAGCTAAAAGAGCTCCATTGATTTGCCAGTCCGGTCAGAGAGACTGAGAGGAAATGACATCAAGTTGAAGTTATATTATTAACTTTATAAAAGATTTGGGGCTTTTGGGAAAACAGCTCTACAACTTTTACAGTTTGAATTTAACTTACTCAATAAAAAAAATAGTGTCCTCTGTTTGTCCAGCTGCCAAAATCTAGATGAAAAAGCTCTGAGTCGATAAAAGTGTTGATAGGCTGATGTGGGTTGCCTTCAGTTTTTACAGCGTGCTCACAGCAGTAAGATTAATGAGCAGCAGCAGGTCGTTTGTTCATTTTTTCTTGCCCTGGGTTTTGTTTCTGATGCCCTAACTCTCTGACTGGTGGAAGTTGTTGGGGCCAAATGGAGACCTGCAGGAACTACTGAGGACTGGAACAAGCGCTACCACCTCATCTGCACTTTTTTTAGGTTAAAAAAATTCTTATAAGAGCTATTTGTAAGTTTTGCTATTGCTACATAGCTAATGTTAGTATTAACAGCGGTTTACTTAGAAGTCTCAAAGAAGTGTTGTGAGTTCAGCATCAAACGTCATTCCTTTACTCACCAACAGCTGTCTCCAGAGGTACAAACAAACATCAATGTTAACTCTTTTACGTCTATAACGTCTTTTCTTCTACTGAAGTTAGCATGTGAACCAGCTAGGCCTGGTCCATCTCCTCACTGTCTGATACCAAGTCACTGTAGCCTCCAGTCTGTGCTGAAGACGAAGCTGGTCAGAGGACGTACAGTATTATAACCTCTTGTCTTGTAAATGCAACAATGGCTGAAGCTCTTGTCAAGCAACATTCACCACCACCTGCTCCCAGCGAGAAACCACATTGGGTGGCAGAGAAAACTTACAAATAGCCCCTTTAAATATATATTTAGATTTACAAAATGTAAATAGAAGAACTGAATGTCAGTTAGTCAAGAGAGTAAAAGGGTGTTCTTTTGAATGACACAATTTTATCTATAAATAAAGGTAAATAAGTTTTATAATACAATAATTTAAATAGGGTTAGATACACATATAAACATATATAGATGCATATGTGTATATAGTTTGACTGAACTGTGTTCCACCTATTCTAAAACCATACCCTGACCTGTACATCTGTCCCAGCTGCCACACAACAGCTGGGACAGATGGTGCTCTCACCTCCCTCTCTGGCTTGCTGCAGGAAGTTGAGCAGGACGGTGGCTGCCTGGTCGACACTCAGCTTCTCTGTGTTCTGACTGCGGGTCTCTGACAGGGAACAAACACCAAACACACATGATCTATATGCTTCAAGGACCAAAGTTGATTCCAGCTTTTGGGAAAAACACCTGGGGAAACTTTCTTATTAATTAATCTCTATCAAATGAAAGAGGCTGTTTTAAACTAAGTGTACCTAAGTGTAATGTGTCATAGACATCTCCTTCTTTTCGGTCCTCTGAGATGAACCTGCGACCCTCTGGAAAGAAACACAAGTTTTTGGCTAGAACCAGAAGAAAGCACAAGAGTTACAGTATCAGTCTTTCTCCTTGTTATAAGAGCAGTATGGAGAGCCCAGTGTTGATAAATGAATACACACACAGTTGCCACTGTGAAGTAATCCAATACATTTTCAAACTCAGGTCATTCTTTTCCCCCTCGCACACTCTCTCATTGTCTTGACTCATTGTCTTGATTAACAGAGAGAGGCTTGATGTTATGAAATAAAACATAATGTGTGTGTATTTATTTATTTCAGTATTAATATTTATTAAGTACTGGACACTTTGTTTGTCCATGCAGACATGTATTCAGTAGGGAAATACATACGTGTGCCCTTCAGGTACAACATAGCCTGCGGGGTCCAGTTTCTCCGTTGGAACGAGCCCTTAAAGAAACAAAGAGAAGGATTTTATTGGATTGTAATGTTTTAATCCGGAAATCCTGCTCGTTAACAATCATTCTCAGACTATTTGCCTTGTTTCTTCAGTTACTGGTGATAACGTCACTCAGTAGTTTATGTAAAAAGCAATAAACCAGCTTTACCTTCGGCGCACTCCACGACTGTGAGATAAACGTGGCCAGGAGTAAAAGCGTGAATAGATAAGTTAAAGTGATGGTCCTCAAACCCTGTGGGAGACAAAGGTCAACGGGAATAAATCGTTTTCATTCACGGTCAGAAACACGGCAGCATCATTCTTAGAGAAAGACTCAATATGACGCCTGTGTTTTGGTGCGTAATCTACGCGTTAGGCACAAATACGCGCATCATACATCAAGTCTTAAATTCATGGAGTAACTTTTAAACTTTGTAAATAATGTCACTGCGAATGTAAGCACGGGGTTTGATGGAGATGAAGATACTTTTCAGTGACAGTGAAATTTGGATTAAAAAATGTTTAATAATGTTTTAAGGAGTGTTTCATCAAAATGTTACTTTCTTTGATGCAGTCCTGAAGAAAAAAAAAATTCAGTCAGTCAGCAATTGTAAGGGAAAATTTTAGGTTGCAAAATTACGACGGAGTATTAAGGACGCACTGAGGAAAAATTAAAAATTTGGAGAATAAAATCATGACTTGGAAAAAGTGACAATATTATGAGAATAAAGTAGTAATTTCAGGTTTCTGTTGTTTTGGAGGGGAAATATCAGAAGCTGGACGTGGAGCATCTTGTGAAGTTCTACTTTAGCAGAGGTTTCACAAATAAGGAGATACTTCATCCTTTGGCTCAATAGCATCATAATCATCATCATCAACATCAACATCAGCATCATCATCATCATCATGACCATCATTATCATTATCATTATCATCATCATCATCATCATCATCAGGACATGCCAAAGATTATGAAGACACTGAGTCTATTCTATTGTTAGACAGACAAACAGCAGCTGCCAGAAGCAGCTCAGGCTGACACTGAAAATTATGTTTTTTTTTTCCCTCGATATATTATGACTTTTTTTTCTCGTAATTTCAGATTTATTGTTTTCCTCAATGTAACCCATAGTCTGGGCCACAATAGTCTGGACACCACTTCTAGAAAGAAGTGAAAGGGAAGAAACCAAAAGTGGCTGTACTTACTTTCATGGTGTCGGAGGTCCTGTGAGCCTGGAGTCCAGCAGAGAGGAGGCAGAATAACAGGTTCACAGTAACTGCACTCGGTCTCCTCTCTATATTTATATTCTCCGGGGCGGGAAACCCTTTGCGCTCTGTGCTCCTTCATGATGCCAGCAGCTATAGGTCACGCCAATTTGATGAAAAGGGGGCGGCTGGGAGAGTGAATGAACGGAGCTACCGATCAATGCTGCTCCTTTCACTGGGGGGGTGTAGTAGCCTGTAAATATTTCTGCTTTAAAACAACCACCATAAGCACTTCCAGCTGCCTGGTACATCTTCAAAATCACTCACGGTGCAGCTGCAGGCCGTTAATGTAAAATGTGGCCTGACTGCGGGTGATGTCACTGTCGATAGGGGCAGTGATATTTTCCCACTCTGTGGGAATATTGATATGTTTGCACCGTGCTCACTGGAGCAGAACACCAATAGATGAAAGCTGGAATTTATGAATGAAGAGAAACTCCTCCAGTAATTAATGGAATTACACAAAGTCTGCAGAATGAGTGAGAGTTGGGTTTTACTGTCAGTGATGCCAGACAGTCTACAAGAGGATTATTAAGTGTCTGAGTACATTTACAAAGACTGAGATCATGAGTCCAACTCAAGAACTCAAGAAAGAGGAATAAAAAATGTGCAATTATTGTCATTATTCTTTTTTATTCATTTATTTACCTGTTAATATTTTTCCCCACATGAAGGTCTATATGCTGCCAAAGCCCTCTCCACACAGCCAGCATTTCATTCAGCCAGGTGTGTGCAGGTGTGCACAGTTTGAACTGCTCTGTTTCATTCTTCACACTATTTCCATTTTCATGTGAACAACCGAGTGCAGCAGCGTAAGAGAAAGATTGGGATGAAAGAAGGAGAGCACAATAAAAAGAGGTGGGATCTCTTCATCAGTTAAATGTACTTCATTTTTTTCATGCTAATGTCATCAACACGCAGAACAATACTAACATCGCGTTGGTCCATTGATAATTTCCATATTTCATCTTCAATTCTCACAGTACTGAGTGTGACTAACTGGTGGTAAGATGATTGACAGATTCATACAGGAGCAACGTAACAGAAAATAAATTATAACATGCAAATCGCAAACTACTTCCTAAACACATTACTAAAAATACATTTTATTCAGGCCAAAATTTATTCTTTCAGATGCGTTTCCCTTTTTTTGTCGAGCAATGGCTAGCTACCAGTGTTAGCCAAAACAACAGTTAGCTTGTTGTAGCAGCCCTGAAAGAATCTTACGCTAATGGTAAGAATGCATTTGGACTGGGCGAGGTGGCAGCAGGGAGCAGATGGAGAGCTCTGTGGGTGGGACTAAGGTGGCATGCAGCGGCCTTACATGCTGTTGCACTCCTTTCACCTGTGAATGGATCCCAGTGTGGGCAACAACTGCAGCACGGGACACTGCAGGATGTTTAAGTGAGTCAAGTGAGCCTAACAAGATCCTGCTTCATTTCTGATGAAGAAAGTAGAGTTAAAGTTATAATCTGTAACGTTTCCACATTAAAATGTCTACACCCAAACAACTAGACTTGTGTTCTTTTTTTTTGGGTTGTGTTTTTTGTGTTTCTTTTCTGTCAGAAGCTCAACATTGACTTTTATCTAGTTTTAAGCCACATACACTTTTTACACCTTGGTGGTTTTCAGCTCTATATTTGAACCAGATGAAGGATTTTAGTCGTCGGACGTCTGGATCTGAAGTTATCAGAGAAACAAGCTGAGGAAATGTTAGACAGCTCAGCTCCCAGCTGCTGGAGACGTCCTGTCCTGTGTCACTGAAGAGCGTCAGTGAATCTCTGATTTTTAAAGGAAACTGTTTTATGGATGTTTCTACTGGTGTTAATCTCCTGGTGTGTTTGTTATGGAGAGGAGGAAACCTCTGTGGATAATTCAGCTGCTGGTAAAAACCTGCTGAACGTCTGGTTCATAAGTAAGCAGTGAAACCATCAGAACAGAGGTTAGCATCAATCTCAGCTCCAGCTCTTCCCTGAGTCTCTGTCCTCCGTACAGCGTCACTGAAACACTGACTTTAAATGTGAAACTGCTTTATTCAGTGTTTTTAATGTTAGGTTAGAATCACCGGGTCTGTTTGATTTCCTGAACCTCTGACACTGAAGGAATCCTAACCGGGAGGAGCTTACAGTAATGGTGGTGAAGACAACAACTCCCATGATCCCATGCTATTTCATGACGTCACCCACCGCTGTCTTTTATTGTTTAAGCAGAGTGTTTAAGTAGCCAAACAGAGTAAAATAACATGACGCTGTTGGTTTGTCCTCCACAGGTCCTAACATGTTTCCAGTGTAAGTGATAGTGGTCAAAATCAATGTCTCTCATTCTGTGCAAACAAACATGTATCTGAGGGTGATATGAGGCTTCCCTCTTTGTGTTTCCTTGCTGAGCTGTGGAGGAGGGATAGAAAGAAAAAGAAAACACTGTTCCAATCACTAACTGAAGATAGTCACTTGGTTCACTGCTGAAACCTCACATCAGCTTGAGTGGTGGAGAGAGGAAGCTGAGCCTGAAGGGAAAGCTTTGGATTTTACCAGTCGATCTATGTTCCAACCCTCATCTATGGTCATGAGTTTATAATGACTGGAAGAATGAGATTGCAGAGACAAGCAGCTGTAATGAGTTTCCTCTGTAAGGTGTCAGGACTCACCTTTATAGACAGAGTGAGGAGCTCAGACATCAGAGGGAGCTTGGAGTAGAGCTGCAGCTCCTTCATGTCAAAAGGAGCCAGTTGAGGTGGTTCAGGCATCTGATGAGGATTTATTAAGTATTTATAAACCTGGGAAATATTTAACAGTGTGTGGATTATTTTTCTAACAAAAAAACACCAGAGAGTTCAGTTCTTTATTTACAATTATCGTCACAAAGTCTCCTCGCGTTACTCTGTGAGTGAAATCCTGCTGAGAACGAAAGACTCTTTGTGCAATGAAACTGCAGCTTTAATGGTCATGATGTAGTTGTTTAGTGTGGTAACGTGTTAGAAAGCTCTGTTTTAAAACCAGGATGACAGATGTGAACTCCATAGCAGCAAAACAATTTGTCTGATCTATAAACAATATCTAGTGCTGTTTATTATTTGCCACTTTATTGTAAATTCATTTGTCCACATACAGTATGGGGCCTCATGTACAAAGTCTTGCGTAGAATTCACACTGAAACTTGGCGTATCCATGAAACTGGAAAGATGCGTAAGCACCAGAAAATTCAGATGTATGAAACTCTGCGCACACAGGATTCCACGTACATTTTCTTTGTACATCCCAGTTAGCGTGGAATTGTGGGCAAATGCACGAATACCACAGTCCACCCTCTCCCTGCCCCAAATATAATACGCCAATGGGTACAAATGCCTGGATCATGCCTCTCTTCAGTTATCAGGAAAAATGGCAAAACTAAGTGGTGAGTTGCCAAAAAAACACACTTGAGTTAGTACGAGGAGGAGGTGTTGCTTTCAGAAGTGAAGTCCAGAGAAAAAAGTTTTATTCTGCACTTTGTCCTCTGGCATTAATAACAACAGAAAACAAAGAAAGTGGGAGAACGAGGCTGTTAATGACATGTCCTGGACCTTCTTCTTGAACTTTATGCATTTTCTCTTGAAATGAGTAAAAATTTTTATAGTAGTATTTTGTTTATTTCACACATTATTTACATCCACCACGCACTGTTTTCAATAGACACTATCCAAATCTTTTCCAACATTACGTATTAGTTTATAGACTGACGTAAATGACCCACACAGACAAACAGGAACTTTAACTGGGAGGAAAAACATCATGTCTCTACCTCAAAACGCTCTAAACACAATGATATATGTTGAGGCGTATGTGTTCCCGTGTGCGTCAGAGGAGTTGATTTTGAATTGATTTAACTTATGAATTAATTACTTATGAATCCACCCACCACTCACCCTGCCAGCCTGTGGCCTGCTTCTGACCATGCTGTTTGTTAGGAGAAATGAATTGTGGCTTGATCCAGGTCACTTTGCCATAATATTAGTCAGTTTCATTTTTGCATCACATATTTGCACATTTATGAAATGAAGATGTTTTCTATTGACATAAATTCAGCCTTAAGCAACTTGTGTGTGTGTGTTTGTGTGTGTTTGTGAGCAGTCGATCGCTCCGATTACATCAGGGAAATTGCACTGTAATATCAGCCTGTTCAACCACATTGTTTGAGAACTCTATACACCTGGATGATCCTGCCTGTACAGCTGGCATAGTGTGGCTGAATGACGACTGGCACAGTCCAGACTGCTCTGCCTGTTCTCTCTGAAATGCCCCTTTCACCGTGAAACTCAGTGTGGTCAGCAACTGTGGGAGACAGCTGGAGAACCCAAGGAGAACATGCAAACTCCACACAGAAAGGCGCCAGGCCCGGGATTTGAACCCAGAACCTTCTTGCAGTGAGGCAACAGTGCTAACCACTGGAAAAAGGTGCCGCCCTGCTTAAAAAAAGTGAGCAATAAATAAATGTGGAATTATTAAATAAAAGTTCTCTGAAATAGATAAAAAATAAATATAAAGTTAAAATAAAATCAAAAGCTATCGATTTAATTGATTGATTTATTCATTTATATAGCTATTAATGTATTTATTGATTTATTTATTATTACTCACTTTTATATTTATATTTACATTTATTTATATATTTCTACATTCATTACCTAATTTATTTATTCCAGGATTTATTTCATAGCTGCATTTATTTATTCATTCAAAATTGATAAAATTTTGGCATTCCATAATGGGGTGTGTGGATGTTATAAAGAGTCAGTGACAAGAATAAAATGACCAACAACATGGATGTCAGATACAAAGCTAACTTTCATTGTATATTTACAAAATTGCCATACAGCAAAACTGTCATTTCACAGGTAAATTCAGTTTTCTCTTCGACGCTCTGAACAGATGAAGAATGAATTTATTCAGATCTAGTGACCGACGTCTGAAATAATGAAGAATTTTCTCTCACAAACAAATGAAAACGGGAGAATGTCAACATTTAAAACCTGTGTGGATCTGTTCAACAGACAGTTTAAGGACACCGGATGAATGAATGAGTAAATGAATGAACAGAGAGGGATTCTCTAGAACTAATACTCACTCACATATAAAGGTCTGTAGGACCACAAATATGTGATGCCGCAGCTGCTTCACATTTTACAGTGCGATCATGTTACAAGGTTAAGTTGTTTTCAGATTTATAAAGAGTTCATCTGTTTATAAAAACACTGACTGCTCCGAGTTACTAAAATCAAGGGATCAAACTGGTGCTTTATATGTTGTAGTCAACCATAAGATTTGTTTATTACCACTGAGGTCTTAGGACTTTCATAGGGCCCAAGTTTAAATAAACCACAGCTATCCTTTTTAAAATAAATGGTGTACACTTACATCGATGACTATTTTCCAAAGGACATCATAAAGTTTTGGTTAGTATGACAATCAGTTTGCAGAAAATAAAACCATGCAGCTCATATAATCCATGTTTCATTGTTATATATAAGAATTTTTTAAGGAAACTTTGTTCTTCAAAAATACAGATTTTGCTTTGGCACCAAAAAAAAATTGATATTTAACCAATTCTTACATCTTAAATGTTGGAAGTTGGCATTTGTTTGAAAATTTTGTGTCAATAAAAAGTTTTAGTACCAATACAAAGCAGTGTTTTTTTCTTTCTGTACCCTTTCTTTGACAAAACAAAATCTTGATTTAAAGTGGAAGTGATCTGTTAAAAAATAAGATTATAGAAATAACAGGTTTACAAATGTTGGAAAACATTCAGTACTTTTCAATATTTCTTGTCACAGACGTATATTGGTTGCTATCAAAAAAGTATTGAGCTTTGATAAGCAGGCCTCCTAACAATAAAATAAACCATCTCATCAATAAAAATGACAAAAATATTTCTTGTGACAGACGAGCTATATGCAGCATGTTGTGTAGCTACTAAAATGAAGTGAAAACAATGGCTGCTTGTCCAAAAAACCAACAATATGCTTTGTAGAACAGGAAATAAAAGGTCACACCAGCATTTATAACAACTAAAGTTTGAAAGAAATCAAATCATTTCAGCTTAATTTCTGCTATTTGCGGCAAGTGGCAGGAAACAGTCTTCATGATGCTGAGTTTTGAAGGTATGGGAAGCCGGAGGAAGATACAGCATAACCTTTTAGCTGTGTCACACCATCTGCTTTTATATAACCCTGCTGTGCTGGAGTGTCAACTCTTCTACAAAAGAGACTTGGTGTGTACATTTAGAATACAGGAGACGACAAATATGTTTCTTGAATACTATAAGATCCAGTGGCGGCTGTGACTCAAAGAATTGGGGAGGACAGGATGAAAACCAACACAGCATCATATTATTTTACACTAGTTGGCTAATTATCTCTACTTCGCCATGTCCCCTGTCCAAATCCATTCTCAATGTTAGCTTAACAGTCCTACAGGGCCAAAGACTGTATACAAAGATGGACCACACATCTCCACTTCCTCCCACTGCACAAAAGTGCTAACTGGTAGCTAGCTACTGCTTGATAAAAAAAGGGGTAACGCATTAGTAAAAAGTAATTTTGGACTCACTTTACCACCAAGTCTCATTCATGTACAATACTGGTAGACAATTAATGAAATATGTAAATTATTATTGGACTAACACAATGTCAATCTTGTTCTGGTTGTTGATTGGTTATGGAGTGTGACCTCCTTTGACAATTTTTAGGTGTTTTGGTCAGTAACAGATTAGCATGAAAAGTACATTAAATTGATACAAGAGATCATGTCCCATCCTTCTTTTATAAATGAAATTTGCTTATGGTTTATTTTTTAATCAGTTACCCTTTTTTTGTTTTCTCCCTCTTGCTTCTCAAAAATATTCTGCCTCTGTATTTTCCAGTTAGTGACTGAGCTACTGACAGTTAACAAACCAGCTAGCTTGGAGAGCATTTGCAACTGACTAGCACTAGCATGTTGGCTGGTTAGCATGTTAGTGGTCAGGTCACCAGCTACAGCCTTGTGTGTAGTCAATACATCACCAAGCTGCTAGCAGCACCTGGATGAACCTCACCATCCATGTGTCAGCATGAATTAGGTGTTGCCTTCCTGGTGTGACCAGACTTTAATAGAACACGCATTTAGACGTTTATGGGGTCAACGATAAATAAACAGTAAATAGATCCCATAGCACCTCACTATACATGAAGTCAAGCACTGATCATTTAAAAAATAATTTATACTCATTAGCCAAGCATAAACAGAAATGACATGTAACAAAGGGAGAATTTTACAATAGCCACATTTGGTATTCAAATAGCTGCAAGAGACAAACAAGAAACAAAGTGTCACAGGAAAACTGTAAAGAGACAAAACGCTTAAAACGCTTTTGTCCAAATAAAGTTAAAGCACAGGCACAGAAACATGACAACATGGTAAGCTGTCGGTCCACTTCTCATCTATGTGGAGGGGGGTTGTTTTGTCTGTTTGCTCCACTGAATTAAGAACGTCACGTAGACGAGTCGATGAGGCTTCGAGGGAGTCGTCTGTCCTCCATTTTCATGCAGGATGCGATCAATAGCATTTGAAATATTTATCGTAGCGCCCTTAGTAACTCCATCCTTTAGTAACAGACTGGTGGTGCAGTGCGCTTGTGAACCTTTGATTGGTAGCGCTGACCAGTGAAATTACAGAGAGACAGAGAGCAGTCTTTGCCTGCTGGAGGAGGGAGGAATCTGAACATATAACCTTAGCTGCTTTAAATCAGCCCAATGAGAGATTGTGATGCTTTATAAAACCTGCTGTACTCAAACAGCTAGCTGTACAAAAAGTCACTGTTATACCATGGTGTTGCTTTCGCCCACTTTGTCCACATACTGAAAGAGAAGAAAGAAAGCGTGTTAAGAGTTGTCTGGTAGTTTTCCAGCCCTCCTCATGTACAGAGCGTGATCTGACACAGACCAGGGAGCTTTCAATGAGATGCAAAGTGTGAGTGTGATTCTGTAAGTTAAACTGCTGGACTGCACCGTTCGGCCAGTATCCTAACACATTTCTAAAAGAAAACATGCGTGACTTAAAGAGACACACCACAGGTGAACAGGACTAACAGAATTATTTTGTAATTTAGAAATTTAATTTAGCAAATTTGTAAACAAGTTGAAACCCAATTATATCTGAGTGCAGATTTAATTCTGTAGAATAACTTAATTAAACAAACAGAGGAATTTGTAAAAGCTGAACTCATGAACTCATGATGTGGCTTGACACAAGACTCTGGAGGGAACTGCTTCAACCTTCCTCGTAAACTGCCTCACAAAAGACACGAGTAGTGTCAGGTGTTAATAGTTCTAGTCTCTTGAGTGAACTATTTTAAATTTTTGTCTAGTTAGCTATCAAGCTAGCTAGCTCGCTAACTACCAGTTAGTGCCAGTATGTTGTCAGTGAGTTAGCATGCTACTGGAAATGTTCCGATCCCATGTTATCCTCAACCATACCTGATACCTGATCTTGTGTATCAGGTGAGACCGAGTACCGATCCGATACCAACATGTTAAAAACATTTTAACAGCTGTGTTCTACTGACCCTGTGTGGATGTGATATGTTGCAGTTATAAAATCAGGATTTGACCATAGGAGGTCCAGACATATACTAGGTTTTGACTTAGTCTTGTTACAGTGACCAGCTGCTCATATGGATCAAAAAGCTTGGGACAGGGTCATTCCTATACAGATGCTGTTTAAATAATTTGCTCATAGTAATCAAATAGTCAGCTCAGTGTTCATTTTGGGTCTTTTCATACTTGACAACATATGTAAAAAGAATTTATAATGGTTGTAGCTTCCTACTGTAGCTGTCACCTGCTGAGGCTCTCTGACTTATTTCTCTGACTCTCTGTCTCTCGTCTCTCCCCTGTGTGTGTTTCTCACTCACTATCAAAATGTGTACAGTTATTTATTTGGTTGTGTGTTCTTGTTTTTGTGTATTTGTGTGTTTTTAATGTCTACTCAATGTTTTCCTTTAAATTGTCCCCTGGGGACAGATAAAGTTTCTTGAATTTGCATCGCAGTGATTAGCTGAGTAACATCATGTGACCAGAGATGTGAAGAATAGAAAAGCTGTGCTGGTTAAAACAGAACCACAAAATTAATAATTCTCAGTAATTTACAGGTTATAAGTCTGGGTCCGGTTAGGACAGCATCTGGGTCTGGACCTGAACAAGGGCCCACCTATTAATGACCTTGGCTAACAGCTACTGTTACACAATTTACCACAATTCTGTTTTTCTTCTCCCACTGGCTGCACAACACAACTTCCTGTGTAGGCTACAGTTTTAGAGCAGTGAAGAAAATGGATTTGCTGGTGTGAAACTATAAAGTTTATTAATACAGTATGTGGTACCGGATGGGTGCATAGACTGGCGAATTGTTCTGATTCTCATCCAGTACTTTAGGTTGTATCAGAGACATTTCCGATACTAGTATCAGAATTGGAACCACTCTCCATGGTACCACTTTGTTTTGAAGCCATTATAGATCCCCACCTGTCCCTGCTTACAAGTCACTATGTCGTCAAGCAGCACATATTCTTCAAGGATGTGTGGATGATTTGCCACTTTCCATGAACAATATCTTTTAAAAAGTTAAAAAAAATGGCTGCAGGGATGCTGAAAGTGGTTTTAAAGTCATAGTCACTTTTGAATGTTGTTTTGTATAGTTTATAAAATAGAAGAAAAAAATGTCTAAATATTGACCAATTAAAAACTCACCATATTATCTGTGGTGTGTGCCTTTACAGTCAAATAAACAAATCATAAAAAGCTATCGTTTCCTGGACAAAGACATATGCTTTCCCTGATTCATGAGACACTGGTCTTCTGAATATTGTAAAGCGTGTTAAATATGTTAGCATGCAAGGGAAAATCGGCAGTGACTGACCACGACTGCTGATTGTCCTCAGAGCCTTACGAAGGCTTTAAAAAGAAACAAAAAAGAAAAAAAAAAAAAACACAGACAGAGAAACATTTACCTCAAAACAAAGCTTCCCACACAACAGCATGGTAGGAGCATGTTCATTAGCCACAAAACTAACTGTGTGTCTGCTAACTTGTAGCTCTAGATTTAACAGTGACAGGCCCCAGTGGATATGTTAAAGTGCAGATGACTTTGACATCATTTTCATTTCATCATTTCTAAAACTGACCTTCTCATGTTGGAATACCACAACCTCTGTGTTGAATTCACCTGCTTAGTCAGTGTGTTTACATTCAGTCTCTTTTAACTGTGTTATTGACCCATTGGAGCAGCTGTGATGTGCAGGAGCTGAGCTGTCATTTGAGTTACTGTGTTGTGGTTTTGGTGTTTGAACAGGGTGATTAATGAACAGAAATGAGCCATGCTGCGTATAAAACATAGCAGAGCTGCAGGGTTGCTGCAGCACTAGTCAATACTCACTGCGCTGATGAACGGCAGGTTTAGGATGGAGCCTAGGACAGGTATTCTTCTGATAAAGCCTACTACAACTGGGAAGAAACCCCTGGGTGTAAAGAAAGTGAAAGAGAGAGGAGGGAGGGGGAAGAAAAGGACATGAGATACAGAGAGAAAACTAGATCCTGGCCATAGACAATACAGTAACTGCATGGAACAGAGTCAATCATGGACAAATAGTAACAACTGAATATGTACAATCATAAATAACTTTTATTTCCTGGGTGTTTTGTTTTCATTATATTTGGAGTATTCAGCCATTCTTAACCAAATCTCAGTTTGGATTCTGAATCATCCTGAGGGAGGGTCATGTGGAAGAACTGAAGGCCTGACTGAACCTGGATCTTCTTCCCAGATAAGGTGGTGTAAGGCCAGGAACAGAGTAGATACGTGTGTGTGGCAACTGTGGATGGTCTTGTTTTTTTTATTTTGGCGCACATGTTAACAGGTTAGAGCGACACACTGTTTGTGTGACGCGCCTCAGGGCTACGTCGCATGATCTAGAGATTTGGCGTATCGCCTATTTTTCATGCTTGAAACAGACAGAGAAAAGACCTGTTGATGTCATAGTGACATCATAGCAGCAACATGACATGAAAAAATATAAATATACTTTTAACCATGTCAGCAAGTGCATGTGGAGACAGTGACATTTTAAGTGACGTTTTCTGTCAAAAGTAAATCAGAAATGAATTTATAATGAGGAGAAATCCAACATTCCAGTAACCTGCAAACTCTTGGCAGAGAGACAGAGCTGCAGCAGCAGAGATGCAGTCAGTGTGAACACACACACACACACACGTTTTTCTTTCAGGTGACTTGTGAAGTCAGACATCACCAGGATGGTGTCTTCAAAGTTCAGTAGTGCAAAGTGCAGGTTGTGATGGACAGGTGGCAAATAGTTCAGTATCTCTATAACTTCGCTGCCTCTTTTCACCTGCCATTGATATACTCAGGTGTCAGGGTGTAATGTGTGAAGAGAATCATCTCTTCTCACAGTTCCACCTCTCACTAGTGAAGTAATGATGATGAGAACCCTACATGCAACACACAACAGCTAATCGTGCTGCATGCACAAACATTCAGGAAGGACCATTACAGGGGATCGAACAGTCTCTGTGGTGGTGGGCAAGACCTGTCAGGATCCTGTTGGCCTGTGTAAAGAATTTCTATGGTGTAATTGGTCTAGGCTTCAGCCACTGAGTTATAGGATCCAACTTCAGTCAAGTCACTCAAATAAAGTCCCTCTCAATATTAAAGAATAGGTTCACAAATGTTCAGGTTTCAGTATTCATTTGTGCTCCTGACTACTGTTTTAAGACAGACTTGAAAAACTGTAAACCCAACAGGATGATCACACTTACATCCTGTTTAATGTGGTTTTTTATATAATCTTCGCTATTTGATCGGGAATTCCACAACAGGTGGATTCCCGGTCGGCTGCTTCTGTTTCTCAGCTTGTTCCTTGTTTGTCTCCTCTCACCTGAACAACAGGAAGAAGCCATAGATCTCCAGCACGACTCCGATGATGGGCCAGCCAATCAGTACCACGAACACACCTCCCAGGAAGAAACTGGTGGCCTTCATCTTGTGCTTCTGGAAGAAGAAGCGGAAGGTCCTCTCCAGCCCGATGACAAAGGCGAGTCCAGCAACAAACAGGATCTAAAGCAATAAGTGTGGCACAATATTCAAGAGGATATTTAGAATATTTAGACTATTGACATCCCTCTACTGAACTATGGACACATAGCCACTCAGACTGCAGGAAAGCGCTGGCTGGATGAGAATTTCATTTAATGTTATTGATTAATGACAGTTGTGTAACCAGCTACCTAAACAATCTCCAAACAAAAAAAAGAATGGACGATGGAGAGGAAATCTGAGAAAAGAAGATGAAACTTAAGCCCCTTTCAAACAGAGATCCTGCTGTACTGCCGACTTTGCTTGTTTTCACTGAACCAAACAAAGCCGGAAATGATGTCGCCCCAGTGTGTGAGCTTTAGCATAGCATGCTGGTGTGTTGGAATTAGAGGTGTGTAGAACGGGCTTTAGTGTCAGACATGTTTCTTGTGCTGGCTCTTATTTGGACTGACTTTATCACCACTGTAAACCAGGTGAGAACTGACAGGCTGCTCACCATGTGTCAACAGTATGAAAATGATCTCCCACCCTGTTAAATTTGCCATTTGTTTGTGTGTTTTATGAAACCACTTGGCTGGATATGTTATTGATATATTACATGCTACAGATTCTGTATTTCAGACCTGAATGACTGAAAATGCATGCTATGCCATCAGCAGGTAACGTAGAAGAAAGGGAGTTGCAGTGAAAACATTAGTTCAATGCTTCAAAGAAGCAGCAAAACTCTCACAACTCACATTTCCAATAGCCAGGAGTGCTTTGTCAAAGAACAGGATCATCCCGAAGAAGAGGAAAAACACGCCGAAGCCTGTCAGTCCCATTCCAATCTCTGCAGGGCATACCACAGTAAAGTTAAATCATTTCATCTGAATTGGTCACTTAACGCTTATAATAAAAAGCATAGCTGGGTACCCTCAGTTAAAATGTCACTGACCATCATATGGTGAACCCTAACTTATGTTGATTGTTAATAATATTATTATGTGTAACCAAGTCAACAAAAACTTCTTAAGAGACAGGTGATGGTATCAGGCCAAGGTCACAATCTGTTTTTCATCTAGATAAATATTTGATAAATACAGGACACAGTCAGCATTGTTCTGCATGTCATCATTTGAAAAACTTAAAAGTATTCCACTAATTCACATGGAACTAACTGAGTTAAGAAATAATCATCAATATTTCTAATAAGAAACATAGTGGAAATTAAAATAGTAATCTCACTGGAGCTTCCACAAGAGCCCCGTTGTTCACTTTGTATTTGAAGCTAGTAAAAACTGAGGCGTACAATTACAACATAAATGTACATAACTGTCATTACCAGTGGCTACACAATACAAGTATGTAGTAAGAGTTAGCAGTTGGCTATTTCGTCCACAGTGCATGGCATGCCATGAGAGAAAAATTAAAGCTAACTTTCCTAGCACTGGCAGCTAATTGCTAGTTAGCGAACTGCTGCAGCTGAAATAAAGCCGGTTTGACAGAGATGGTAGCAACCTACAGAGATACCCAAATAACAAAGCACTTACTTTGGGAGTCCGTTAGCGAAATCATCTTGACGCTAGATAAACGAGTAAATGTTAACTAGAAGTAGAGAAAATATTATAGAAGCTATTCGCGTGCTTCTCTTAAAATAATTTGGATGACAGCTGCCACTGCAGCAACAGCCACGTCTTCCGGAAACACATCTTCTCGCGATGTCATCTTCCGGGATAAACCTGTGTCGCATTCACTGCAACAACTCCAACATCCTATTTCTTATAGTTATAATTAATATCCTTTTCGTCTGCAATACATATATAGTACATCTACTCTACTGGTATATCACATGTGAGTATATATGCCAAGAATATTAACTAAAAAGAGGAATATTTCGAGTATTTAAATTTATTATTCATTTCCTATGTATATGTTTTTTGAATGCATCAACGTAAATCTGGACCACAATTTTGTCCTGAGTTTAGTCTGTCAGGCAGCGCTGACCACGGCTGGAGTTAGTAGGATATTTTGCTATGATCCAGGCCTCCAAGGTAACGTATAAACCATTGATTGCATAAACTCTACGTATGATATACTTTAAAGGGAGACCATGGTTTATACAGGTGTCTCAATCCTGCAGCAAGGGGCGACATTTGTAGGCAGCCTGGCAGGCTTGATTTAGGGCAAAACCATTACTTATTGTTAATAGTATTTTTTTTTCTCCCGGCGCGGTCTGTCTATAGCAACCGTGAAGGAGTTCAAACAACAAGAAAGGGGCCTGGACGGAGTTGCTGAATGGTGAGTCAGTTGTATTATAGCCTTTTTCAAAGATTTGCCCCGGACGTATTACTACTAATTTAGCCCACACCAGAGCGGGATAGTTCTTCGGTGGAACACAGCAGAGAGGAAGACAGTGACATGAGAGAGAGAGAGAGAGAGAGACAGACTGTTTGAATACAGTGCTCCTGTGTCCGGGATTGGGTAAAACATCCTCAAACAAGCTAACAGCTAACGGTAATTAACTTCCGCCTGTGTGATGAGACAACGCGGTGCAACACTGGCGTGTCCTAGTTAAATTAGCCTACGTTATGATGCTTTCAACGTAGCTATGTAGCTTATGAAACAAAGTGTGGCATTTGACGTCACTTTAACCTCATTTGACATTGTTTAGTAAAAGTATCCTGAATTTGAACTTTTGTTACATTTGTTCTGATAGACTGTCAGTGGTGGAAAATTACAATACCCATTTAGAAAAATAGATGTGGGTTACTTCAAATGGGTTATTGAAGTAGAAGGCTGCTTGTAATTATATCAAGCCAAAAAAAAAAGTGAAACCGAATCTAAATTATTTTGCGTTTGTTTTGTTTTGGTTTCTTATTTATGTATTTTATCCTGTAGTATCTTATTTAGGTTGTCAAGCCTGATTGATATTGTAATGTTATATGTTTATGTTCATTATTTGGTTTGTTTCGTGTGATCTAGTTAGTAGTTTTAAGTTTGATCTGTATTTATTGTTTTATCTTCTGTTTATTTATCTCATGTTCTAGTTCAATAAAAAAACACACACAAAAAACAGCCTATTTTCAATTATTTATCGAATAAAAATGTATGAATACTGTAAAATTTAACTTCATTTAATCAACCTAATTGAATGTAACACAGTAAATAAAAAGCAGAAAGCGGTTATTAACTCACATAAACAAAGAATAACAAAATTATATGAGCACCAGTGATAAAAGTGCAATCAGGTAAGTTGCTTCTCATATGTTATCACAATGATTATATGATCATAATACCATATGTTATCATTAGGGCTGAAAGATATGCAAGAAAAAAAGATAATGTGATTAATTTTGACAGATACTGTGACTGAGATATGAGTCAGGATTTTAGTGGGAATGGTGCTTTTTGTTTTTCACTTCATTAAAAAATATAAAAATGATGATTGTGATTGTTGCTGGTATTTTTTTTTTATATTGCACTTGGATGGCCATTTTGATATTTTGATGAATTGCTCAGAGTTAATTATCATAAGACATGTACATGAGAGGTACAAACCTAAAAGTACAGGTCAGTCAGAAGCATTGCATTTCTGAAATGGGAATTAAAGGTTAAAAGTTGACAGTAGTTCAAAACTGAGCTTGTTGAACATGTTTTTCTGTTTTACAGAGAATCACATCAACAACTCTGAGTGTGAAAGTTCCTTTCTTGGCAAATCAGTCTGACGAATATGGATCGTAGTGGTGGAAATGATGGTAAGTCTGATCTTCAGTCAAGGATCCAAAAACAAACCATTGACATATTTAGTGACTGGAGTTTGCATCAGTTTCATTTGCACAATACTGTATATGAGCTTAAGGTCATTAAAGACCAAACACTGCAACAGTGCTAGGATGCAGTCACAGGATCTTCAGTGTTACTCCTGCAGTTGTTTTTATTTGAGAGCAGGTTGACATCATCAGATAACTCTGCCACATCCCCAAAGAGACATTAGGGGATGTGCGAAGAGAAAGAGATCATTAGCTGGAGATGCGTGAGCCTCAGAGGATTAGTACCTGTGCATGTGTGAGACCTGACAGTATCCTCCAGTGAGTCTAGTGAGTGAAACCTGCTGCACACGTACTCTGCTAAAATCACTGTCCTAATTTAAAACTTCATGCTAGGCCCTGTACAACCACTGTACTTCAAACTTCAAAACTTGCCTGTTAGCCATGCTAGCGACAGAGCTCTATGTCAGTCTGTCTGGTTAGGTTGGACATTTCATAACAACTACTGGACCTATGTTATATACCCCCCCCCAAGTCAGTTGGAAAGCAGTTGGAGGTAGGAATGTACTACACAGAGTCTTTGTCAATTTATAAGTCCCTATAAGACACAGCAGATAACTGGTTTGATTTAGCCTGCTGACAGTGTTCCTGGTGTGTTTCCACCTCTGCAGATGTGCAGGCAGAGCTGGACTCGGTGGAGACTGAGCTAGAGTTGGTGGAGCTGCAGATCACAGAACTGCTGCAGAAGCAGACTGAGCTGACCTCTCGTAAGAATGCACTGCTGCAGAGGTTGGAGGAGGCCTGTGACACTGCACAGCCATCATCATCCTCATCCTCTGCGTCCTTAAAGTCATCCAGAGCTGATCCTGTAATGAGCAAGCAGGAGATGCAGCGCTATGATGGAGCAGGTACTGTTCACATGTGGCTACACAGTGAGAGTCAGTCGGTTTGTGTGTTAATCTCTTTAATCTCTTCATGTTTGGTAGATTTTTCATGGTCTAAAGAAGTGGAGCAGCAGCTGAAGGACTCATTCCATCTGTCCAAGTTCAGACCACTGCAGCTAAGGGCCATCAATCTGAGCCTGTCAGGCAAAGATCTCTTCCTGGTTATGCCTACAGGAAGAGGGAAAAGCCTCTGCTACCAGCTGCCTGCAGTCTGCTCAAAGGGTACACTGAGCTGTACACACAGTGTTGGAGCCCTGTCCTTACACTGCTCATGCTCACACACCACTTACAGCTCATAAGCTTATTTTGTTTGTTCTGTGAGTACTTACATTCAGACTCATCTGTCCTACTGTAACCGTGTGTGTGTGTGTGTGTGTGTGTGTGTGTGTGTGTGTGTGCACGTGCGTGTGTGTGCGTGCGCCAGGTTTTACACTGGTTGTCACTCCCTTGGTGTCCCTGATGGAGGACCAGATCATGTACCTCAAGTCAATCGATGTGTCAGCTGTCATGCTGAATGCATCCAGCAGCAAGGTAACAACTCACTTCAGCTCACCTTTCATCTTTTTTTATGTCGCTCAGTTAACTACACAAAGGTCACAATCCACAGACACACTGTCAGTGTCAACAGTGTTTTTTATTTCCATGGTACTGTATGTGGCTGTTTAATACTTTAAAAGTGGCTAAAATAACAATGTGAAAGAAATGGCTCGTTATGATGACCTGCAGAAAACTATCTGCAGCTGCTCTTGGCTTTACAGTGATTTTCATCTAATTGTTTAGCCGTCCAACCCGCAGCTTCGCTGTTTTTGTTCACCGTCGCGTTCACCGCATAAGTGGACAGCGTTAAGTTCAGGTGTGACGCATTGGTGATCTAATCACTCAGACAGATTCCTCAGACTTGGCGAAGTAAAACAGATCTTATCTGACCTAGATACAATTAGAGGCAAATGAGAGTAAGTATTTTATCATTTCAGTGAAGTGAACCTTTAAAGAATCTTTTTTATTTTATTCACTTATTCTGATTATGTTGAGAAATTAACATTCAGAGCTGCACAGATTACACGCCGGCAGCTTTGACTCTGTAGCGACATACTATTACTTTTACAGTCATTGTTTCTTGCACACAATGATAAAAACAGTCTGTACAGAGTGTGTTGTAATAGCTAATTGATGAAGTGCTAATCTTGTCTTGCTGCCTGTGGGTCACGCAGCTGTGCCGGATTCTAACTAATGGACAGTGTTATTTTAGGAGGCTTTGCAATAAATCAGTAAAATCCCTCAGGTGTCCCACTGTTTTACATATCATTCATGTTTATTGTTAATTGGACACTGTTGCATCGCATGTATAAAAATTTTGATTCCTCTGCGTCGGCAACAGTCAGAGCCAGAGGCATTTTGTTTCTGATATTTCTGTCCATCCCATTCTCGTGGACACGATATCTCAGAAACACCTTGATCGAACTTCTTCAGATTTGGCACAAACATTCACTAGGCCTCAAGGATGAACTCTTTAGATTTTGGTGGTCAAAGGTCAAAGGTCAGTGTGATGTAACAAAAACGCTTTTTAGCCATTGCTCAAGACTTCACACAGCAATTATGTCAAAATTTCACACAAATGGTTCATATGTATGTGACTCTGGATAAATCAGGGATGTAACCTGAAACTAGTCTGAGTGGAGGAGGCAGAAAACCACGAGGAGGTGATTCTAGTTTCATGTTGTACTTTATTTCTGAAATTCATTTTTTACAGTAAGTTCATGAACTGATTAATTACTGTTGATCAACTTATTGATTCACATGTAAATAGCATCCACTAACAACAAAATAGAGCTGAAAACTTAAAGGAAGCTGAGGGCTACATGTGTACAGTCTACAGTGTTTTCTTTTAAAAAATATGCATATATTTTTCTACATTTACATATACACTCAGTAACTTGCCCTAGTTAATCTTAATGTGGATTGTGAGAATGAACCTGTACATGCAGTTGTATTGCAGGCTGTTTTGCATGTTTGTGTGTTTGTTGTCTGTCTTCCTGTTTACATTAGACTATTAATCAAAAGCTGTTACTGAATCACTTGGTTGTCTGTGTTTGGTTGTATGACTTTATAGTGGGCCCCATAAAAAGTGTAGCTGAGAGACCCAACAATGTTGTGGAGTCACCTGACACAGACTGAATTATGTTGATTATATCTACTGTTATGAAACATAAGTGTAAATGAAGGAGAGCAGAAAAGCAATTTTTTCCTGCTTAAAACAAACAAAATCTCTTTGTGTAAGTCAAAATGGTGAACTGTCTGCTCTCATGTGAGAAACAGGTAAAAAATAAAAAATGACATAATGTTTTTAGGAGCACGCTAAGACAGTCATGGCCGGAATGACAGATCCGAAAACCCCTTTCAAGCTGGTGTACGTGACTCCAGAGAAGATTGCCAAGAGCAAGCTGCTCATGTCTCGTCTGGAGAAAGGCTACAATGCAAACCTGCTGAGTCGCATCGCTGTGGACGAGGTGCACTGCTGCAGCCAGTGGGGACACGACTTCAGACCAGGTCAGGGGTCCTCTTTACTTTCCAAGAAAGCCTAACATCAGATCAACTTCAGATCTTAAATGTGTGTGTGTGTGTGTGTGTGTGTGTGTGTGTGTGTGTGTGTGTGTGTGTGTTGCTGTGTAGATTATAAACTGCTGGGCATCCTGAAGAGACAGTTCCCCAAAGTGCCGCTCCTGGGCCTCACAGCCACGGCAACCAGCAGCGTCCTCAAGGACTGCGAGAAGATCCTGTGTGTGTCACAGCCAATCACACTCACGTCATCCTTCAACCGAACCAATCTCTACTATGAGGTGGTCACCATGGCAACTGCACTTCACTCGCACACCTCATCCATCTGCAGTACAGACAAACGTACACACACACACACACCAAATGTCTCTCCGTACATACTTCCACCTGCTCAGCACACACACACACACACACACACACACACACACACGTGTTTGACCTTTTTAAAATCATCTGCCGTGTTTGCACCAGCTTACGAAACGTGACAGTTAAGGGTGTTTTTGCATGTTTAGCCCTTTACTACAATTTGCATGAACTTCAGTTTGATTATGAAACTGTATAACAGCCATGCGCCTCAGTTCATTCCAGTTCACTATTAAAACCAGCTTGCAACTTTCTTGACAAGTCCAAAACGACAGCATTGGATACTTGTCCACATCTGTCAGACTAAACAAACTAAACAAGTCAGTCTCATGCAGTCTCATAACAGTGTCACTAACAGTCTGATTCTCCTCAGGTTCGTATTAAAGATTCTGATGCATCAATAAGTGATGTCGCCTCCCTGATCAACAGCAGATACAAGGACCAATCAGGTACTGAAAAGCAATTATAATTCATTTTTAGGTTTGACTTAATATATTATTTGAACTGTTTATATTCACACTGTATATTTCCTGGTGTGTGTGTGTGTGTGTGTGTGTGTGTGTGTGTGTGTGTGTGTGTGTGTGTGTGTGTGTGTTTTGTTTGCCACAGGGATTGTGTATGTGTTCTCTCAGAAGGATGCAGAGTCTGTGTCCTCTGAACTCCAGAAGAGGGACATTCTGGCCTATCCTTACCACGCTAACATGGACCCTGACGACAAGTCCCGGGTTCACCGCAAGTGGACCTCCAACAAAATTAGGGTATTTGAGTGTGACACACAGACCGGTATTGTTTGTACTGGTGGCACAAACGTTCACACACTTGGACTCAAGGATGAACTGATTAACTTTTGGTGGTCAAAGGTCAAAGGTCAAGGTCATGGTGCCATCACAAAATATTTTTAGCCATAACTCAAGACTTCACTTAGCAATTTTGATAAAATTTCAAACAAATGGTTCGTATTTTATTTGACTCGGGATAAACGGGGATGTAACCTGAAACTAGTCTGAGTGGAGGAGGCAGACAACCACGAGGAGGTGATGCTAGTTTCAGTTTTTACAGTAAATTCATGAACTGATTAATTACTGTTGATCAACTTATCGATTCACATGTGAACAGCATTCACTAACAAAATAGAGCTGAAAGCTTAAGGGAAGGTGAGGGCTACATGTGCATCTGCCTTGTATAAAGAAATTGAAGGGTAAAAAATAAATACTGCTCTTGTAGGTGTTACTTGAACATGTCAGTATGTGATTGGGATTGTCCTCCAGGTGGTTGTAGCCACTGTGGCGTTTGGCATGGGTATCGACAAGCCTGACGTCAGGTTTGTCATCCACCACACCATCAGCAAGTCCATCGAGAACTACTACCAAGAGAGCGGACGAGCAGGTAGACACAGTTTGTCATTGTTATCAGGACAGCATACCAGAGTATACTGCCTTGGTATTTTTGATTTTATACCTCCATAAAATTTTCCTCTGTCTGTGTCTCCAGGACGAGATGACCAACCAGCGGACTGCATCATCTACTTTGGCTTCTCTGACATCTTCAGGATCAGCACCATGGTGGTCATGGAGAACGTAGGTCAACAGAAGCTGCTGCAGATGGTGGACTACTGCCAGAATATTGACAGGTAACAGACAGACACACACACACACACACACACACACACACACACACACACACACACACACACACACACACACACACACACACACACACACACACACACACACACACACACAGGTACACCTACTTATTATTATTAATAATATTACATGAGTTATGGTTGTATGGGCTTGTATCTAACATACAACAAGTACACAAACAAACTTACATGCTTGTGGTACTTTGATAATTCCTCTCACCCCCCATAGACATATACACACACACACACCCTCACACCCTCAATTCTTTCACAGCATGACTTGAACTCTTGAGTCTCATGTTTGCTGTGTGAAGGTGTCGGCGCTCTCTCATGGCTGTTCATTTTGATGAGGTGTGGGACGATGAAGGATGCAACCAGATGTGTGACACTTGTCGCCATGCAAAAGGTGTGTGTGTGTGTGTGTGTGTGGGTGGTATGTTCGAACATGATTTGATTGCACCATCTTTTTTGTTTCGTGTTGATAAGACATCCTAGTGATCATCTCATCTCCACTCTTCCAGACTACACTACTGTGGACATTACCCAGCATGCCAGGCAGGTGGTGCAGATCCTGGAGCTGGCGGGATCCATGGATGAGAAGCTGACTCCTCTGAAGCTGGTGGAGGCGTGGATGGGGAAAGGCCCCGCCAAGCGCAGGAAGATGATTCAGACCACCACACTGTCTCGGCTGCAGGCTGAAGCTGTGATTGTGCGTCTGCTGCTGCAGGGATACCTCAGGTGACATCATCTTCTCTTGTTTGTAGTCATTTTATTAGGCTTTTTACATTGTTCATTGTTTCAACTGTTTTAAATTTATCAGTGGGATACTTTATCAGATGTATCGATCTTTGTTTTGATCTTACCACCGACTTGACTGTTACATTATTGGCGCAGTTAATTGGCTACCAGTGGCAGTGTTGACTAATTTCCTGTTTTGATGCCTCTGCACCGGCGACAGTCAGAGTGTAGGTAGTGAAGTATGGAGTCCACTCAGTCATCACAGCTTTACCCGCTGGAATAAACAGCTAACAGAATCATAACATGCTGAATTCTGCTGTTACATTTTACACATACAAAGAAGAACACCAACAAATGCCTGTGGAGCAGAACTTGGCAGATACCCGCTGATAATTAACATTCAAAAGAGAGCACTCACATTTTTTAAGCATCTTAAATCAGCGCTCCAATCCCAAGAGCCGAGCCCTGAAAAGCCAGTCTGTGCTGGGACTAACTGCCCTCTCTAAAACACATTGACCAGTCTCTCAACAGCACTGCTTTCAAACAGAACAAAGACAACACAAAATATCATGGCAACCCAAATGAAAACACAACATGTGGTCACTGTTCGACAGAGATGAACTTCCTCCTAACATGTAAAACATTCAATGAAATAACGAGTTTAATTCTGTAATTTTAACTTTAATAAACTAAAACACACCTCAACATTAAAAATACTCCCAGGAGAAGGAGACGGGGCAGATCTGTCTAATATATATATCAAGCTGCCACAACCTGAGGGACAGTGAATTACCTACACACACACACACACACACACACACACACACACACACACACACACTCAACAATATGTAATATACTGTAAATATATAATTAATACATGCATATCCATCTTGCATTTTGTATTTTGGAAATTGTATTGTGATGTTTTGGCAACATTGTTTTTCTTTTTTCTTTTCTTTTTTTTTTTAAACCAATAAAGCACCATTGAATTGAATTGTCACCCCTCACCCCACCATGTTGAAGAGCACATTTTGGGGCAGTTTAGACTCTGTCTGACATGAGTAACTCTTCCTGTCTGGTTTGTGTGTGTTGACCTCAGAGAGGACTTCAGCTTCACTCCGTACACCACATACTTCTACATGAAGCTGGGCCGCAAAGCTCCTTTGCTGAAGAGCCAGACTCACACACTCAGCATGAAGATGAGGACAACAGAGTCTGGATCTGCTGGGGTGAGTTCAGTCCACAGTGATACATCACAAAACAGTCAAATAGACGCTCCACTGCGGTGAGCATATTCTGCATCATATGTAGGTGTAATCAATGAATTCAAGTTCACCTTTGGTCAAAATGAAACGACTTTAAATATTATTTCATTATTAAATATTATTAGTTTGGTTACTTTTGGACACACTCACACTGCTGAATATGAAGAGTGCATGGCTCAAAAAAAAAGAGAGAGACCTGATAAGCAGCAAAGTAATTGATTCTTAATCGTAATCGAGGTAAAAGTTTGGAATAACGGTGGTATTGATTTTTTTTTTTTTTTATTATTATTTTTTTGGGCCTTTTATGGCTTTATTGACAGTACAGTAGAGAGACAGGAAATGGGGAGGCAGAGAGAGGGGGAATGACATGCAGCAAAGGGCCGTCTGATGCGGGACTCGAACCGGGGCCGACTGCAGCGAGGACCTTAGCCTCTGCACATGGGGCGGATGCTCAAGAATTTGCAAAACAGTTTTACACAAAGTGATGTAAAATCTTAAGTTGCGTCCAACTGATGCTGGAGTTTTAAAGCAAACACAGTCTTACAGTCTCCAAAACAGAAAAAAACTTGACATTACTTGACAAGACATTATAATAATGTTTTTTTGATAAGTGAACTCATTGGCTCTTCTCTTCTCATATACTTGAACAATTTCTTTGACAAGCAAAACATTACCACTCCAGTAGAGGTCGGGCTCTTCTTTCTCATGCTTTTTTTCCCCTGTATCTCCTGTGTTTGATTAGTCATGTGTTTTTTCTTCCTCTCTGTTGTCTGTGAAGTCTCTCTAATCACTTTCTTCTTCTTCCAATGTGTGGCCGATGTGTCTTTCCTCCACATCACTTAAATTTGTTCTCACACATTTTCTAATTGTCTCTAAAAGTCCACAGAGGTAAGTCATTTGAATTCAAGTTGAATGTTGTCACTTTTACTCTGTACACTGATAATCACTCAGTCTATACCAAAGTCCGTTCTTCACATAGTGATGACTGGAGTTTTGTGTTTTTATTTCCAAGATCTGACTCTTTCACATTCACAGCATCACCACTTAGCTGCTGATAATGATCATTAGTATTCTAATAGTAGATTAAACCATTGTAGTTCATGTAGAATCCACTACTGATCTAAAACACACATTTTTGTTTTCCTGTTTTGCTGCTATGACTGTCCCAGCTGTTTTAAATATGTGAGGCAACAACATGAGGGGTGCAGAGGAAAATAAATAATCACCATTCTCTTTGATATATATTCCATTTTACCCAAACGTTTTAAATACTGCACCATTATGAGCATTAGTGGAGGAATTGGTCAGTGTGGTTGTCTCATGTCCTCCCCTCTAGTGTCCCTCATCCACTCCATGTAGGTGTGAACCCTCTCAGGTAAAAGACTGTTGTTAATGACCTGCAGGTAAAAGCTGCCAAAACCAAAGAGGGAAAGAGATCAGGTCAAAGTGCTGGAGATGCCCCTGTGTCCAAGAAAATGAAGACAGACTTCCCCTAGTCCCCCCCCCCCCCCACCACCCCACTGAGAGGACAAGCTGGAAAAGTACAGTCCATCATTCTTTCTTCTGCTCACTACTGCTTCTTTTGGCATGGCCCTGTCCAGACCTGTGCTTCATTCATTACATTGGGATCAGACTGTCTGGGTGTTGGAGGGTTGAACACTGAGAATCTGTTTTTATTTCATTAATAATTAATAAAAAAAAGCTTTATAAGTTGTATAATAATAATTATAAGCATGATATCATCTAATCATTCCTAAACAGCAGGCTTGGGCAATACACAACCTCCACCGCAACCTCTACTGGCTGTTTTATATGGATTATTCTGACTCTTCCCGGTGACACTGTGTGCTGGTAACCATAGACTAACAATGCTGCATGTTTTTGGAATATAGTCCTCAATGTATCTTGAGTGTGTTCACACCTGAACGTGGAGCTGTCCACTGGTGATCAGATGACCTGAGGCGGATGTTAATACCAGGTCTGAACAGGTCTGAACAGGGCCTTTGTTGGAAAATCAACAATCAGCAAACTTTTCAGACAGAAAAGACTTTTAGCCATGATTTTACCCAGTTCGTTTGTTGTCACGATTGTCTGGTCAGCATGGCTCACTAGTCTGCTCCATTTTGTGTTAACAAAGAGGACAATGTCAGTTTAGTGATAAGAAGGCAGCAGCCTGGCAGTCTGTCTCTTTACAGACATTTTGGAGGATAAATGATTCTGTTTCACTGACAATATAGAAAAATTCAAGTATTGCTCAAGCCTGTCACTCATGGTCTCTGGTGCCAGTGTCCATACTTAGGAGCATGCTATTGCTAACTTTCACTAACATTTCATTGCACTAGCTGACATGGTCAGTGCTCAGGACTGTCTGTTACAGTATTTCATTTCAGCTATATGTTGCTTTAGAAGACCGATAAGAAAAGATTAATATGGCTGCAGTATTGTGACATGTTGAACTGTCTTCATATCAACATCCTCTCGGTTGTTCCAGGATTATGATTTAATGCTTCACTTTTCTCCTGTTGTTCACTAACCCTGGTTTTCATGATTACAGGATACATCAGCTTTTGAAACCAATGAGAAGGAGGATGATATAATCTTTGAGCCTGTTGTCATGGACAACAGCTGTCCCCCACAACCCAAACAGAAACTATTTAAAGAACAGAGGAACCTGTCCAGGAAAAGAGACTTGAAGCCAGGCAGCCAGACAAACAAATGGACAGAAGAACAGCTGACAGACAGACATGGAGAGGAAGAGGAGGATAAGAGAGGATCCATTATGAAACAACATGTAGTTGAGGTTGATGTTGAAATTAACATAGTAGATAACATAGGTGTTAATAACGGTCAGAAAACACCATCACATCCAGTTAAACCCTGTTCCAAAAGAAAGTCCACCACCCCTCAGAGAGTGAGGAGGAAACCCCGTGCAAACTCAGAAGTGGCGGCCATTCCCTCTCAGACCTCAGATGGTGCCCCCCTCGCCAACACCGTGCCCAGCTCTCCATCCCAGGCCTCAGGCATCTCTGAGACTGCAGCCGAGGAGCTCTGTGAACTGAGGAACTACTACAGCAAACAGCTGAGGAGAATAAACTACATTTCCCATGAATACCTGGGGCAGCCTGCAGAGCCAGGAGTGCTGGCATGCATCAGGGAGCCTCTGAAGAGCCTCCGTCTGCCCCGCAGGGTGACCATCGCTCAGACGGCCCGCAGCCTGTGGACACGAGTGAGCAGCAGGCAGAAACTGGTTCACCGCTGACATCACAGTTCAGTCAGCTGAGGAAACCACTCAACTATGTGTATAGGTGTACTGTACAATTACTATTCTACCGTCATCACAGTGACGTCTTTAAGACTGTGTGTAGGTCTCACCTTTGATCTGATGGTCAGATTAAAGGAAATACTCCATTTAACAGACATTCATCCAGCCAAGCCAGCCACTGTATTATTTTCCCACAAACAAAAACATATACCACCATCAACATCATTTTAAAGATGTTATAATTACACAATCTGTGCCATGTTTCATACCTGAGCTGTTTCGTTGCCAATTAATGAGCCTTAATAAATGTATATTTCTGGACCTCGATTTGTAGGTGATAGCTGATAATTTGTCATACAAAGCTATGGAAGTGAAGATGTTGTGCAGTTTTATCAACATTATAGATCACCTCTAATAACAACGTGAGGTTCCCGACGTCTCTTTAACTGAGGAAAAGTGACCTGTAAATATAACTGCACAAGGGTTCTGAACTCAGCTGGTTCCACCACTGTTGCTGCAGATATTTTTACATCAACTTATGTGGGGCATGTACAGAATCTGAGAAAGGCCATACTCGCAAATATTTTTTTATCCCGTTACCTCAAGATAACAAAGCTCGTTATCCAGAGATAACAAGATATTATCAGGAGTAAACAATGTTTTATTAATATCTCGAGTTAACGAGATATTATCAGGAGAAAACAATTTTTTGTTATTCAAGATAACGAGATATTATTAAGAAGCGTTATCTTGGGATAACAAAGAAACAGTTTTCTCCTGATAATATCTCGTTATCCCGGGATAACGAGATTTGTTGAGATAACAGGTTGAAAAAATATTTGCTTCTTTAGGCATGTTATGAAAGCAACAGATTTTCTTTTTTCAGTTTATAGAGGCCCAGACAATGATGCTTTATTTATCATGTCACCTGCTTGATGAACCTCTTCAGTTATATTTACTGGACAGTGTTGGCAAAATCTTCCAAACCCCACCATTAAGTGAGGAATTTATTATGTAAAAAAATTAACTTTGTTCCAGGCCTTCTGTGTGTTCAACTAGTTTCTCCAGATGTTTCCCAGGTAGAAATGCACTGACTTTTCTTTTATGTGACATTTTGATCAACTGTTATGATAAGAAACAGTAATGTTCAGAAAATGTTCAGAAAAATACTGTATTCTGACTGTTTTTTATTGGCTATAACTTCAAAATTAAGTTATGATTGTTTGTTATATTATATCTGTTGATTATTTTGAGTTGATTATTAATATATTATATTAGTTACACTGACACTTATCCTGGTTTTTATACTCAAAAAACATGTCTGCACATCACAACTTGGAATAAAAATAAACTATACACACACAAACATTGTCTCACCTGTATTTCATTTCAGTCTAAACAATCTTTATTATGGGCCACCATTGAGTGAAAAAGCATTCCAACTGTTCATGGTTGATGATAAAAATTAGTTCAGTTGGTGAACGGGACTCCTTGAGAAAACACATTTAATATGCAAGTAATTAGAAATGGTCTTTACTTTAAAAATTATGATAAATAAAGATGAGACACAACAGTAGATAAGGACAGTGCTGCCAGAAAAGAGCACTTCAACACCATCCATACAACTGACCCCAGACATGCTCGCTTGTTTGTTTATTTTTTCAGGGACATTAATCGGCATCACTGTAAATGTGCCACTGTTAACTAAGGTAAATTTTTACCTATTGTGCCAGGTGGTGAATCAGCTGTTGAAACAAAAATAAATGACACAACATGAACAATTAGAACAAGAGAGGTACAGCCAGTTAATACATAGCAACGTTTAACAGATCATATCACATGTAAATCACATGACATTACAGATGACAATGCAAGATGAAAAAGATTTACATGTATATTTAAACACATTCATGACAGTTCATCTATCAAAATTACATTTTAAATAAAATGTTTTGTTATTTTGTTCTGCTATCAGACACATTTGAATATATACAGTATACATATATATATATATATATTTGCACAGAATATATGTATCTTTTCAATCACATTCTGAATTTGTTTTTTTTTAAACATTCAAAATCTAAATAAAGGTATTTACAGTGAAAGTATAAGGTTTTTATGGATCTAAGGGTTTGATTTTATTCAATTTCATCCATGTCTACTTGCAACCCCTCTTTATAGGTTGCATAATTCTACTGATTATGACCAGTTCAATCACAGAGTAATTTTCCAGCCTGAAGAGGAATTATCCAGTAACTCCACGAAAAAGCGAAGATCTGAGGAAAGACTGAAAAAATTATAATGTCAAAAAAGTAGATTTTATTTCTGCTTTGCTCTTCTTTGGTTTAACCATCTCATGATGCCTCAGGTTTAACTTGTGACCCCTTTGGGGGCCCCAATCCTCAGGTTGGAAACACTGTCTTAGATCACTGAGTCACCAAAATAAAGGTTGTGGCCTTTTATAGCTGAAACAAAGATTAGACAAAGCTTTTGGAAAAGCACAGCATTTTATTAAAGCGCCATATAATATAAAAGTAGATGTCCATGTGTAGTTTGATTATAAAGCAGGTCTAGGTTCTATATTAATACTGTGAAAGTATCAAAGCTTCAGTCCACAGAGAAATGCACACAGCTTGTATACAGAAACTGAGCCTTAAAACCAGCCGTCAGGACTTCTGGAACCTTGTGATGTCACAACAAAGCAGCAACCAACCTCAGCCATGCCCCAACCCCACCCACCTGGAATCAGAAGAGAGGCTGAGAGCCTCTTCTCTCTGATTGGCTCACCAACCTGTTGTTATTAGAGCTCCAGAGAGAAGCCTGAGAGGAGATGTAAAACTACACTGAGATGGTTTTTGGTTCTTAAAACCACAGATTTATCTTCTTATGGATCAGCACGTCAAATAAAACACAGGAGAGGAGGAAAATATGGAGCTTTAAAAACCAATTGTGTGTGAAGGTTGGCAGGATCAATACATTTCTATTGCAAAGATTTTGGATCAAATCAAAACATGACAACAGCCGTTCCCAAATGTTTTAAAACCATCGCTCCCCATTAACCATTTGTTGGGCCTATTTTCATTATCTATGTTAATGTTTATTATATACATTAATCCACATTTGGTGTTCTAGTGAGTATTTAGGACAGCAGGGTGGTGTAAGTCTGCAGTTAGTCTGCAGCACCATCACCTGTCAGTGCTGCGTACCTGCAGAGAGCCAGAGATCTCTATTGTTTCTTCCTCTTCTAAGATTGTGGACAAAGTAGCAAAACAAACCTAGTGAGAGCAATAAGTGAAGCAGACGTGTGGTGGTGCTGTGAGGAGAGCAGCTCACAACATCCTTTCATACATGTGTGCGTATTGACATTTGTCTCTAGTCTTATTATGAGCCATGGTTAACAGGTTAGAGCGGTGTGTCCTGTAACTAAGGCCATTCAAGGCACAGAGGTATTCATGTATTTTTTAAATAGCTTGTTTAAGTCATTTGACTGTTCATTAATGTATTCTGTCCTTTTTATGCCTCCACGCCATCGATAGTCAGAGAAGAAGTGCAGTCAGATTCTTTTTCTAACTCCTTATAAATTCTCCTTCACATCTTTCCTTGACCTCATGACGTGGACGAGAAGTGTTTAGAGAGATTATTTTGACTTTTGGACCAGAAACAGTCTCCCTTTTTGCTTTTGCCCAATTAGTCCTGTCAGTGTTAGTACCCGTCTACATCGGCCAGACGGTGTTGTTCCTATGTTGTTTTACTTGTGTTCTCACCATCCTGCCTGCTACCTGTGATGCTGCTGCTGTATGTGTATGTACTAAATAATGTCATCAAGATAGATAATAGATAGATAGATAGATAGATAGATACTTTATCTATCCCCTAGGGGAAATTCATTTGTCCATTAGCTCATTGTTGATAATAATAATAATTATAACAACAGTTAATAATAAATAAACAATAATAATTAGATTAGTCCACATCCTTTGGCTGAGGTGTTCTACAGCCTGATGGCAGTGGGAACAAAGGATCTCCTGAACCTCTCTGTTCTGCAGCGCAGTGAGATGAAACGTTTGCTGCTGTAGCTGCTTCTCTGTTCTGCCAGAATGTTGTGGAGAGGATGGTTGGTATTGTCCAAGATGGCCTCTATCTTACATTGCATGCGTCTCTCCACAACAGTCCTGAGTGAGTCCAGACTTCTGCCAAGCACAGACCCAGCCTTCTGCTGCCATTTTTCCTCTTTTTCTAAAATACATTATTTTGTTTCAACTTTCATTCAGAACATTTAAAAGTCCTAATGTTCTGATTTCCTGTCACTATGGGCCCTTCTGCTTTTGACTGTCCTTGTATCCATAGTCACAAACAAGTCCTCTTTAAGTCATGGATTAACAACAGAGAATGACATTGTCTGACCTGTAGTTCATTTTCCTGAAGAGTCTTCTGTTGCTTTATGTGAAACATTTCATGGAAATAAAAACAGTTTTCTGTGTATTTGTTTCACTCCCTCTGAACAACTGTCAGCTTAAAGAACTATTCACTGTTCAGTGACTTCAGGAACTGCAACAGCACAAACGACACAAAAGCTCACTGTAATAATGAATACAAATAAAATGGATTTATTGAAGTTGAGGTGAAGTTGTTTTCATTTGAATGGCAGAAGTTAACAAAAACATCTGAATGTCCTTCAAACTCTGCAGTTATCTCTTCCAGGAAGAGAAAGAAGTTACTTTCTTCTGGTTGCTTAGCTTAAGATTCACAGATGCACTGATCCACAGTTTTATAACCGATTTCAAATGGTGCTAGAAGGCCGCAGCAGGCTCTAAGCATCAGAAGAAATCAGTTATCTGTTAGTGGAGAAAGGGGAGGAGGAGGGCTGTCCTGTGCTCGTCCTCTTGGGGCTCACTCACTGCCGGAGCTGTCTTCCTGTCCCCAAGAACACTGATTTCAAATGGTGCTAGACGACAGAAACACACATCTAAACCACCACGTGAAACCAGCTTCTGGGGGAAGACTTTTTGGTGTTGGACCACAGCTGCAGCGGTGAGATGAGCCAACGGCGGGGAATGACAGTTAAGTGTTATATTTTATATTATTATTATTTCTTATTTTTATTTTTTATACATTCAATAAGCATGAACCTGAGTACGAGTAGGAGGAGAGGTTTGTTATCTCTGTTAGGATGAAATGCAGCTGAATCCTCATTCAAAGTAAACTTCCTCTGACGGCACAAAGCCTCATGTGGATCATTGTAACATCCCAATATCACTGCCATAACAGAGGCTTATTTCTGACAAGACAGACAAAACAGAGCAGTAAATGAAGAAAAGTATAGGCACCAAAAATATATTTTTGTTTTTACTATTTTTGTGCCACTATACATTTTGGTCCAGTTTCATTTAGACAACAGAAAAAAACACATGATTTTCCCATGTTTTCCACATGTGCCCACATGCTGTAACATGTGGTGCCATGTAGATCCCATGTGGAAAACATGTTACCACACATTGTAACATGTCAGAAATACTGCAGATTTTCAGCTTCACAATAACATTTTCAACACATGCAGTAATATGATTATTGACAAACATGCAAACAACAATCTCACATATCTGACATGTAATCCCAAAAGTTTCACATGTAATACTATAGGGTTTCCATGTAATCCCCTAAATTTTACATGAAATCCTATATGTTTCACATAGGAATTTACATGGGCTTCACATGTTACACCATGAAAATGTTCCAAAGCCACGTTTCCCATGTGCCAGCACATGTGTTCCACACGTTTCACAGGTGATTTTAACATGTTTTCACATGTTAAAATTCTGATGTGAAATTAATGTGGTTTTTAAGGGTTTTTTAGGGTAATTGTGACTTTCTGGCAAACATTTCAGGGTTGTAATCAGAAGGGTTCATGAATGTTAATCTTTTCATTTTTGGGTTTGTCATTTTTCTGGCTTGGCCACAAAAAAACAGTGATTGTGAAGAGTGTTCATATTTTCTCTTTTCATTTTATTAAATCAGGAAAACCAGAAAAAAGGACCAACAAGAAAGATCATTTTACCACTTGATGGAGAGTTAAAGGAAAAATTAAATAAGGGGGGAAAAAAAGCACAAAAAGTCTTGTAGCTTGAATCTAGATAAATTGGACTTACTTGGCAGAAATGTTCTGTTTCTTGTTCTTTGAAGAAAATTATATGGTTTACTAGTCCTTCAACTTTTCTACTCAAACAGAAATGTTGAGGTGTGCACTGAATAATATGCACAGAATAATAAAGACAAACTAACACTCACTGCGTCACATAATAACACAGTAATGAATGCATGTTACTTATCACTGATTACTTTAATAAAATTTAATT